TGCGATGCGGCCGACGCGAATGTCAAGTCGACGTATGCGATGTTGGCAAAAGTGGAAGAAGTGAATCAATCGATGGGAAATGTGCAGAAGTTGGCTGGGCAGATGTGAGGAAGAGGGAAATAGGGGAAAAGTTGATAAAATGTAATTTTTGCAGAAAGGAAATGCGACGGCTTGTGGAGCTATTCGAAACTCTGTTCCATGGAAGTCTGAAGTGATTTTGTTATTTTCAATTGCCATATTTTTTTGTAATATTTTCATGTTCTTGTCATTAAAATGTACAAAAATAAATATAAGTTATTAAAAAAATTCAAAAAAATGTCTTCTGAACACCTTCGAATTCGTGCATTTGCACGTCATCATGCCAGATTGTTTGCGTACATAGCATGACATGACATTTTACGACACGTTTCCTGAATTTGTGAGTCAGAAATTCTGCGTACGCAAACACTCTGGCATGTTGACGCGCAAGTTTGGTAGGTCGACGGCAGCCGATTTCCGACCGACCAAAATGAGAAATAAAGAAATCCGCTAAAAATGTTCATTGAAAACCACAATTCAAAAAAGGTCGCCTCATTCATTCACTTTAGCCGGTACCTTGGTTCTTTTCTCCTTTCCGAAAAACTTCCTGTCTCTGACCATCGGACGATAAACGACAATCGATATCTTCAACGACTGATCAATGCACAAAATGCCAGCCGAGTTATCGTTTTGGCCACAGTAGTTGGGCGCCGAGAATACGGTAATCAGGCGACGATTATCGAAGAATTCGTATCCGTCCTCGACAACTTGATGAGCGCGAATCACCAATCGGAGGTTGAGTCTTTTGAGGAATTCTCGAAGAGCTTGGGAGCCGAAGACGCTCGAGGCGCCACGACTAGAAGGGGCGTAGCGTTTAACAGTCTAAAAATACATTGAAATTTGGTGTAAAAGTTCCGCCGGCGGTCGGTCGAAAATCGGCAACCGACCGGCGACCGAATTTTGCAAAAAATCAGAAAATTCGTCGTGCGGCATAAAATAAAAAAAGTTAAACACCAATGAAGCTAATTGAATTTCCTACAAAACCATGTAATTTCCATTTTTCTAGCTCAATTTTGACATGAGTTATGCGCCACTAAAGTTTGTGAGACGAGAGAGCGTGAGAGCGCAGAGAAACTAGAGGTGTCTCGTCGTATGGCGCTCTAGCGACACAAAAGGGTGGAATAGACGGGTTAAAGTGATTTTAGGTTAGTTTTGAAAGGGAGAATGCGATAAATGTGATGCAATCTGGATATTTAGGAAAAACAACATTTTTTTCTGATTTTTTTTTTGAATATTAAAAACACCAAAAGCACGAACTCGGTTGGCTAAATTTTCCGACAGAACATTATCCGCAAATTAGACATACCGGATCCGGGTCAGCCCAGGTTAGATCAGCCAAGACTCCCATATCGGGAATTTCCACTGGTCGTTTGTAAAGAGCCAACTGACTGAGATTCATCAATTGCTCACTGATTCCTCCATGCATGCACATTATAGTATCCTCGATGATAGCACAAAATGGGAAGACGTTGAATAGATCCGAGAAGTATTCGTAGAGTTTCGCGTCGTATCTGGAAGAACCCCGGGAGATTGAAAATACAGTGAATCACAGAAAGAACCTTCTAGTAACTTCTCTGTAGAACCCATAATGACAGTTGACAGAACGGGATTCATGGTTGCCACGAAGCATGTACAAACGATCCGGATACGCCATTTTGATGGCTATCAGAAGGATGACAACCTCCATTGAATACATTCCACGATCCACATAATCCCCGAGGAACAGATATCTCTTGTAGCCCAGATCCTTCACCTCCTTTAATACTGGTTTCTCGTCCCAACCTCCAGAAGACCTCGGACCATTTGGATTGGAATCTGGTTGAGAAGATTTCGGTTCAGTGCAAGGCATCCGTTTGGTTTTTAGAGTCTTTTCCTGGAACCCAATTGTTTGAACAACCCTTCTTCTCACTTCTTACCATAAACCAATTTCTCTCCTTCTCTGTCAACGGCCATCCATTCGAATCCCACATCCCTAACAAATCATCAAACTGCCCGTGCAAATCGCCCATCACACAAATCGGCGTCTCCAATTTCAGACAAATTGGCTCTGCCCATATCAGCTCTCTGGCTCGAATACAGAGTTCCGCCAGTTCGGCGGCACAGAACAACTCCATCGAGGTAGTGTGTTTCCATTTGAACATTAATTTTCCGATTATTCTGTTTACAAATCCTCGAACCTTCTTCTGACTATCTGTCAATTTTGGAGCCGACATGTGAAGAAGTCCGGGTGTTTAGAAGTAGTGGGAATTTTTTGGTGTTTGGTAGCTTTTTAGAAAATTCAACGTGTTTATAGTGACGCGCCAGAGAAATGGGACACCTAGTGACAAATTTTCAACAACCTGAATTTGGAATCTTTCTAGTTGACATCAATTATCTTGGTTTCTGTTCAAAATATCAAAATTCCATCGACTGATAAAGTTTCTATGATAATATAGGCTGCATATTATCAGTTAAAAGTTATCTGATATCTGTTACAGTAACCGGATTACTACAGTACCCAACAAAAGGGGTTGCCGAAATGCGTACAAATGGCGGCTCAATACCTAAGAATCGACTATAATTTGCGTCTTTACGCAATTGGGGAAATTTTATATGAAAGTTAAAAATTATTTATCAGACCAGGATAAAATAATTTCTCAACTCTTCAGCCGCCGTTTGTTCGCTTTTCGGCAACCCAGACTTGTTACCGTTCACCCTTTAATAGAGAACCACCGAACTTTGAGCCCGTATATCTCAGCCCCTGTAAAAGATATCAAAAATTTGTCAACTGATAAAATGTTTATCATGATATCAACATTATTTCGTCTGTTGACCACGTTTTGATATCTTCCACAAAAACTAAGATAAAGTCTATTAGAGTGCTTACGGTATTTTAACATTTTCAGTGCAAAATATTTAAATTTGAAGTCCTCAAAAAGTATTTGAGAATTGTTCGACGTTTCTGAAAGTTTCAGTGAAAAAAATGTACAAATTTCATAAAAATGTACACTTCAATTTTGTAATTGAGATTGTTTTTGTAATATACAAATCCCACAAAACTGAATAATTTAAAACTGCCTCAACACTAATTTCAGTGAAAAATTTAGAATTTTCAACAATTTTTTTTCAAACAAATGGCATACTATTTTCCCAGTTGAAAATATATTCACATAAATCTTAACATCTCTTTCTCGAACGCCCACGATGTAGAGCTATCCCATATGAAACTATAATTCGATTTACATATTTTCTATCTATAAAAGGAAACCATCTCCCCCGAAATCGTCAGTTCCATATTTTCCTATGAACCGCTTTCTCCTTCTTTTATTTTTCCTTCCCGGAGGAATATGGTGTGACCATCCTTTGAGTTCGGAAGAGAAACAGTACTGGAAGGCTAATTGCGGAACCAAACCATACCATCCGAAAAGTCGTAGTGAGTACAATAATTCAATTATCATTATCCTACTGATTCATTTAAGGTATTGCCGGAGGACAACCAATTGATGGCAATGCAGCTCCATGGGCGGTTCGTGTAGATTCAACGGGATCGTGTTCTGGGACAATCATCTCATCAAGGCACATTCTCACCGCTTCTCACTGTTTCATGGAAGATGCATCGAAGTTGACTCCCATATTGCAGCAAGCGAATCAGACGTGCTCGTACGTTTTTAATTCCGAAAAAAATTTGTCAGAAGTTAGAACTAGTTTGAACATTTGATATTTTCAGTGGTTTGGATTGGGTTTTATATCCGGGCAGCAGTTGGTTCAGTATCACAGACTCGTATGGAAGACTTCTGTCAAACAGAGTTTCTCGGGTAGGGTTATCGTTCTTGCACAGGGTAACGGCTGCGCATGATAAATGCGTTGGCGCGGCGCCTCATATGGACCTATAGGTACACCGTTTGCGCGCATATAGTGCGCCATCGAGATCGAGCATGACGCGTCCATATTTCATCTACAATTTCAGGTCGTATTGGCGATGGATATCTCTTATATGGATTTATTCATCTAACTATAGTTGTAATAAGATGTGATTTTGTTCAGATCTTCCAATATCGTTCATTTTCCATTTCAGGTTCCACAGAGTGACCATTTTTCCAGTTTTCACAGAATTTTCTCACAGCAAGAAAAATTATGGCAGGAAGTTAAAAATATCTGGATGTTATAACATAATAAATTTTTCCTTCAAAATTGCGATATAGAAAACTTGAAAAAATTCAACAAAGTCTTGAAATTGGCATTAATTCGCATAATTTTGTTTTCGAAATAATTGTGTGTTTCTCGGATTTTTTTCCTACTTTTACTTCGTAATAATCGGAAAACTTACCAACCAACCTGTATTCCACCTGAAAAATATTTTATTCCGCTTATTCCGAAGTAAAACAGAGAATTCTTAATTTCAAGAAAAACCGGATTTTGTAAAAAATTTTACCTATTTCTTTAGTAAAAATAAGTTTTATTTTCGTTAGCCATAATTTTTACATGTGAAAACAGTGAGAAGTTCTTTGAACGCAGGAAATATGATCAATATGATCGAAAAATTGATCAAGATCGGCGGTGAAAAATTTTGCTAAACAGCGCGCACTAGCGTAATAGCGGAGTGTCGTTGGTGGGTTGTCGTTTTTATGGGAAAAGCGGGCATGCTATATGGATGCTATATGGGTGCACCCACCGGCGACCAGTCGTGCCCAGCGACGACGCATATAGCGCGCACGCGCTACCCACGGAATTATTATGGGTGCACATAGCATCCTATATGCGCGCCTAGACATATACCATGCGCAGCCGTTACCCTGTCTGTTTCGATCTTCCAGTGACATACTGGAAACAGTTCAAATTTGTCTAGACACGACATTCATACAAAACCATTTTCAGGTCATCATGATGAATTATTGCTTCCAACCGGCAAGCTTCCGAAACGATGACATCATGATCTTAGAGCTCAGTGAAAACATCCAATTCGATGATTACGCCTATCCTGCTTGTGTTTCAAGCGAGTACATCATAGTTAAAAGTTCTCAATATATTCGTTCCAGGCAATCCCAACTTTCAAGCTATAGGCACAATAGTCAGGTTTACTACATATGGACATAATAGTTAGTTGCTTGAACTCAGGTTTCCTTGAAAAATGAGAATTACAGGCTGGAACTGGTTTAACACGGACGGTCAAGGAACTTCCCGGCTGAGAAACGGCGTTTTCCAGGTGAGATACGAATTTCCGTGACCACTAAATTTCAACGTCTTCAGATTACTGATTACGACAATCAAGGACGTTTTATTGGGCTCAACGGACAACCTTGGGGAGTCAATACACGACCGGTTTGATATTCCCCTCCTTGAATAAAGTCTCAAAAGTATATTTAAGGGCGATAGCGGAGGAAGTTTGATCCATTATGACAATGGTCGATATTACGTAATCGGAGTGAGCAGTACAGGCTCCTACACAGGATTCAGGGCCAGAGCTTCCTCAGTTTACGCACATTTCGGCCAAATCTGCTCGTACACCGGAGTTTGTTGAATGCATATTAACTGTTGTTTTTTTCAAATAAAGAATTGCATATCAATTTCATGTAGACACTTATACATAATCAAGAAAAAAGTATTGTTATATTCTCACTTACCGTAAAACCTGTATTAGAAAGGCCCCTCTAACTGTAGTCGCTCTGGAGACCCCACGAATAATACAAGGATCGGCCCTTCTAATACATGTTTTCCGGTATGTCATTAGTTCGAAAATTTCAGACACCTCCACCGGGAATCGTAACTATGAGTTTTTTGGTAGGCAGAGCAATAATCAATTTAGATTATTCCACTCATGAGACTTGTATTCATTAGGGTTTCAGTGCAATGGAAATTTCTGGTATAAATTTTTTTGAAGACTTCAAACTCGACTATTTACCAGAGTTGTCCGGATTCCGGATTCCGTGCTTTTTTCATTCCGGATTCCGGATTCCGAATTCCTTGAAAAATATTTTTGTCCGGACTCCGGATTCCGGATTCCGAGAAAATGTTTTATTGAGGATTTTAAACATATTTGTTAATTTTCAAGAATCCTCTGACTTTTTTGAACTTCCGCTACTAAAAATACAAAAACAAAGCACGATATGTGTTTTTAGAACCTTTCTGCCCACTTGAAGAACTAAAAATTTCGCATTCCGTATTCCGTATTCCGGATTCCGGGTGTTTTTTTTTCATTCCGGATTCCGGATTCCGGATTCCGGAAAATTAATTTCATTCCGGATTCCGTGAAATTTTTATTTGTCCGGATTCCGAGAAAATTATTTTACTCCGGATTCCGTTTCTCAAAAAATTCATTCCGGACATCTCTGCTATTTAACGTTGAACAAGTTTAAAAAGTAAAGTTTTGAATTGGTACTGTAACTTTTATTGAAAAAACATGCATTATTGAAACTCAACGAATCCGGAAAGTCAATCACTAAATACAGAAGATTCGAACTCTGATTGAATTTCAAGAAGGAATTGCACACCCCAAATGTTTCCTTTTATTTGGTAATTCCAGTTAAAATTTATTTGTCAGGGTATATGATTCCTTTTTTCAGAAAAATAAACATTATTTTCCAGAAACTTTTCCCATTCCAAAAAATAATATATTCAAACAAAACTACACAAAAACCGTCTTCGAACGCCCACCATTCACATATAAAACTATAATTCGATTTACATATTCTCTATAAAAGAAGACCATCTCCCCTGAAATCGCCAGTTTCATAGTTTCCTCCTATGAACCGCGTTCTTCTTCTCTTATTCTTCCTCCTCGTAGGAATATGGTGTGATCATCCTGTGAGTTCGGAAGAGAAACAGTACTGGAAGGCTAATTGCGGAACCAAACCATACCATCCGAGAAGATTCGAGAGCCGAAGTGGGTAACGATCAATTTGTAGTCTAGTGATTTTAATCACTAGACTATTACTCTCGTCCGAAATCAATGCACGTTGCGGCCGAAAACTTACTCAAAATCGCATCGTCGGTCGCACAGCGAAAAAACAAATTGATGCATACGCCTTTATCTACTGGTGGATAAATCGAAGTTGACTCCCATATTGCAGCAAGCGAATCAGACATGCTCGTACGTTTTTAATTCCGAAAAAAATTTGTCAGAAGTTAGAACTTGTTTTAACATTTGATATTTTCAGTGGTTGGGATTGGGTTCTATATCCGGGCAGCAGTTGGTTCAATATTATAGACTCGAATGGTAGATTTCTCTCAAACAAAGTGATGGGAATATCAAACCCTCTGATGAGGATGGTCAGTCCTTCTCGAAAACGCAGAGAAAGAGGGCAAAAAGGGCACCGCCTTCCTTTTTTTCCTATTTTCGTAGTTTAGATTTCCGATATTCCATATGCATTGATTTCTGAGATTTAAAAAAGAAAACATGCTTCCTACTAGGCATAGTATAAATCCAAATCATGGATCAGATGCTAATTTCATCAGGAACAATACTTTTGGGGTAGAGGAGCCGAACACAAAGACAACAATATGGTTTGAAACATTTCTTTGGAATTTTGAAACTTTATCCATTTTTCACAGGTACAAATGGATTAGTAATCGCATTCGTCAGTATATGATTCCGGAAATCTTCTATTTCATTTCTCTGGTTTTGATTCTCTACAGATTACAAACTCTTTCTAATCAAAACGATCGGGTTTTAGAAACGGTAAAGTCGAATTATAGTTTTGATTCAAAGTCTAATTCCACAAATTAATTTGTATAGATCAATTCAATGCAGTCTAAGTTTGCTAATATGGAAAGAAAAATAGAATCGTTAGTGTCTCAAAAACCCAATCAGGATATAAGCCCGTTTGACAATACCGAACCTCTGGAACAATCAATTGCTAATGTACTGAAGTCTATGAAAACTCCAGAACAAGATTCAATAGAAAAAATGGAGCCCATTATTCCGCAATCGAAACAAGGAACAACTAAAACTGCGGAGAGTACTTCTGAAGTTTCTGTATCCAAAGAACAATATCGCTTCAATGCTACTGATTATCTGAAAAGAGCATCAGTGGACAATGATTATTCTTCGAGTTCAAATTTAAATCCAATAATTGGATATGATCAAACTAATCTTGTTTTACTGGATCGCCCTGAGCCGCCAGCAGATAAAGCATGGTGCTCAAACACTCAGAATCCAGTACTCTCTATTAATCTGGCCAAGTATATCAAACCAATTTCAGTATCATATCAACATTCTAAATGGAATGGAACTATTCCAAATGGGGCTCCGAGAACATATGATGTTGTGGTGAGTTGATTTAGATTCCTGTTTAAGATTATCTCCATATTTTCAGGCTTGTCTTGATTTCTACTGCAAAAATGGAAACCATTAGTCTCAAACTGTCAATACAGTCGATATGAATCAAAAGGAACAGAGCAGGTGTGCAATATCTCTTCTCATTTGGATGTTCCTTTAATTGGAAAAGTCCAATTTCGATTCCGTGAAAATTATGGAGACACAAAAACGACTTGTGTTCATTTGGTTCGTGTTCATGGAGAGTCGAAGACACCTCTAAAAAATGAAGAGAAGAAACTGAAAAGTGAAGAAATTTGTACTGACTTAAGATGGTATTATCCCAACAATTTCTTCAAATATACTTGGGTAAATTGAGTTTTATACATTCATACTGAATACAAATTCTCATTTTCAGACGGATAAAAGCTGTACTTTACTTTATAATAACAGTTGTTGCTCCGAGTGTCCCGAATGCTGCGAAGAATGTTTGATATCTAATTATAATGGAAGAACTTTGGGAAATATTGTCGGATACACAATGTTTAGTGTTGTGATAGGGATGATAGCAATACTTGTTCTTTTAATTGTTTGTTCGGTAATAATGAAATGTTATCAATGCTGTACAGGGAAAAAACTGAACGAATCATGAGTCTTTCAGTTGTCGTTCATTCTCAATTTTTTTTCTATGTATATCCTTTAATCAAAAATGTTTCCTTTTTTCATGCCTTACTTGTAATTAAAACATTTTTAATATGTAATGTTTCCAATAAATGAATTTACTCAAGTTCCTTTTTTTGTGAGTTCAGGTCAAAAGTTGAGGGATTCAGCTTCAGATGACATATTGATAGCGTGTCGGCAACTCTTCTCAGTTTAATGGTTTTATCAATGACTTGCGAGCCTGATCGAGCCGGAGTTTGTCAAGGCTCGGCCCGGTTTATTAGTCCATTGTTTCTCTAAAGTTAATCCGACTAATTGAACTCAAGAATGTACTACTTATGAAATATTATTTTCAGACAGATAAAAACTGTACTGTACTCTATAAAAACAATTGCTTCACCGAGTGTCCCGAATGTTGTCAGGAATGTTCGATAACTGATTATAACGGAACAGCTTTGGGAAACATTGTCGGAAACACAATCCTTGGTATTATCATAGGAATATTATCATTAATGTTTCTTTTCTTGGCTTTAGCGGCTTAAGTTGGTTGTATTGCCTGCTGTACAGGTAACTGTAAACCTGAACCAACCTAACCATGAGTTTTTCATTTATCTTTCTTTTTTGTTCTCTTTTTCATCTATATACTACAATCAAAAGCGTTTCTTTGATTCGTTCCGTTCATGTAATTAAAATATTTTTCTTTTTTATTTTTTCTAACAAATGGATATAGTGCCGGTTTTTAAAATTCTGGTCGAACCGTTCGAAGCCGTCGAGTTGGAGTTGGTCGAAGCGATTCTGGTTGGTGGTTGTCCTGGCCGAACTGGAGTTTGTCAAGGCTCGGCCCGATGTTTTTATTTTTTATAATTTCGAGGTATTCTGATAGTTTTCAAATAAACGCCATAACTTTAGTCGTAAATTAACAACTGGTTTATAACATATATACCCGTGTAAATCAAAATTAAATATGAACTTTTGAAAAAATCTGTGACCACATCTACTAAATATTGATTGGAGTCGCCGTCGACGTCGCCGAATTGTGAACCGGATGAGTTTTCGCCGCATACACATTTTTCCAGATTTCCGCAAAACAAACGGAACTATGAAACCGATAAAAGATGGTCAATGGAGAGAAGCTTCGTACCAGAAACACCCAAGATCGTTTTCCATAGTATTCTGAATTTTAAAAAAATTATAGAAAACTTCTGATTGTGGGTCAAACCTATAATAATTTCTGACACTCCGGCTTTTTCACTCTCAAATAAGTTCATGAAGAAAATCGCAAGATTTGCAGTCAGCAAAAATGTGATCGCTTGTTTTCCCGGTTGCGCTTCTCGATCCTCACATCCCATCCGAACACTTCTTGCCACGTGTAACAAGAAGGTTTGAGTGCCAACCTGAATATTTTTAAATATTACCTATGTTAATTTATTGTAAACGCTTTAAAGGTGTGGGGACATGAAAAAAATAATGTTCTCGAAATTCCGTTCAAAGATGCCCCTCGAGGAGTTGAACTTGTGAAGGCGAGGATTGAGGGTGCGGCGCCGTTACCGACTGAGCCACGCGGGCAAAGATAAAGCGGAAAATCTCCTGTCCCCCCACCTTTAATGAAAGGGCGCCAAAACCACCAAATTAGTCTATACAGTACCGATCAATAAGATATACAACAAAGTGATTTCAAATGATTTTCAGCCATTTTTGTCATTTTCAGAACTCTGGAGGTCAGCTCTCCAGTTTCCGATCACTTTGAAAATCTTAGAGCGTGTAAAACATATCTAAATTAAAAACTTCGCATTCACAGAATTTTTTGAAAATTCCCTGTTTTTCAGCTGTTGGCATAGTTCTGAGGAACACCCCTTTTTGGCCTATTTTCGTACTAAAATATGAAAAAACAAGAGTCTTTCAGAAATCAGCAAATAGCTGAAAATCAGGAACTTTAATAAAATTTTGTGTATTTTAATTTTTTAATCTAGGTCTGTTTTACACCCTCCAAATTTTTCAAACTGATTGGAAACTTGACAGCCAAGCTTTCGACTTTTGAAAATGGTCAAAATGGCCAAAAATCCACTGAAAATTAAGTTTTTGTTCTTCTTATTGACCGGTACTGTATATCTCGGTTTCTGTGAAAGATATCAAAAAGTGGTCAACTGATAAAAGGTTTGAGAAGGATACGGTATCCTGATTCCTTACCTGGATCAATCTGAAAATATGCACGAATAACAGAACAAAGGAGAAATTAGTCCATTGTTTCTCTCCAGTCAATCCGACTAATCCAGCAACTGAATAGATGAGTTCGCCAACTAGACCAATAGATAATAAAATTTGGTCCAAAAGTTCTTGGTCCGAATTCTGAATGTGGGTCTTTTTGTTGAAATATTTAAGAGCACGCATTTGATAAATAGCCGTAAGTACTCCGATTGTAGATAAGACATACTGCAAAATAGACAGTTACTCTAATTATCCAAATTCAATTAATTTCTCACTTGGAACATATCCGTAAACGCATACACAAACGCTGCGTCCTTTGATTTATTCATCATTGTAAAACCATAATAAACAACCATCGAAGTGAATGTGACTGCCAGAAACGCCAACCCCAAAAACAGACCAGTAGTAGTTTTAGAGCAATCGACACGGATTTGGTGTTTCCGTTTTACGTAGGTGGATCCATGGTCTTGACGTCCTTAAAATCTGGGGTTACTGTAGCTGGAGAAGTAAAGAAACCTACCAATATTTCTCCAAACAATATACATAACAGCGGCAGCAATCAAAGAGTATTCGACAATCGATGTGAACATAATTTCGGAAAGACTTCCTGAAAAAAAATGAAGTTCCGGGTAAAATAAGAATTACTGTACCTAGAAAACACTCAACAGCTTGACAACTTCCGACGATTTTCTTGTCGTGTTCATCTTCATGTGACGAGAACATTTCAGAAGATTGTTCTTGAGAGGATTCAGAAGAATCGAAGGATAGATTACGGTAGTGGCCCATCATCGGTCGATGTTTGAATACTTCTCTGGAAAATTAATTTGTTTTAAGTTTTAGAAAAATCTCACCTTATCTCCTTCTCCATTACTCCCTCCTCCATTAATACATATCTAATCCAGGTCCAAAGATTTGCCGCAACCAAGTGCATTGTTCCAATCCTTGCAACCATATGAGATCCAGTTATTGATAACTTCCAGTTGCAAAATATAAAATGCATTTGGATAAAAATAAAAAATATTGCACAGACATCCAGAGACGTTGATAAAGCAGAACAATTGGTGTCCAACTCACAGAGGAATACCAGGAACGCATAATAAACAACTCCCGTCACTCCGAATACTGTAATAAACCCTGTGGTTACTGTACTTCTTGTAGTTTGACCTACCAACAGATCCCAATCTCAAAAAGAGACTGCCAGCCGATGGACTGCTATGCGTCACTTTTCTTACAGTAGCTGCTGCCGAGCTCAGCGAATCCGACGATGGACTAACTTTGGGTCGCGTCAGGCAAACTCCAAACATTTTCTAAGTGAATTGAATTCATCAATCTAATTTTAAGCAAGACTCTCACCCCTAAATAATCCATTGTTGAGTACCATCTAGGATTCAGAAGAAGAACAATGTACATATAGAAAAAGAAGACGAGAGATCCACCGTACATGTAGAGTCCAAAGATCTGAGGAAAAAAATTGGAGTAGAATGGGGTTCGGAAAGTAGAAACCTACAATATCTTTCTTGTTAAGCTTCCTGGATTCTTCATCGTTCAAAAGATGAGCAAGTTCTAGGACCAATGAGAATATTGTGAGGAAGAGAGCATAGAATACGGTACATGCTGTCAGGAGGGAAGTTCTGAAAAACGATAACTTTCGAGAGAGTAAAGGGAAACTCTGAATGGTTCGGAAAATTGGAACTGTGACACTAAAAAACTCTAGAATCTTCAGATCCTAAGTCAAATCGAATTTGTGACCTAAGGTTTTAAAGATCCTGGACCTTTAACACTTGAAACCCCAGACTACCTGAAATAAGCGTTAAGCCTAAGCCTATCCAAAACTCCCCCAAATCACCTAGCACTGGGTCCGAGCGAGTTCTCATCCACCGACAAAAGTCTCAACATAATCGTTTGAAGAAGTGAACAGCTTCTTCCTCTTCTTCCTCCTCCTCGCTCACTCCGAGAAGGAGGAGAAGCTTTCACTGGATAGCGTCTAGTTTCGATGACGACTGAGAATAGACCATCGAAGTGCGGCATTTTGGTAAATACTGTACTGTTCAGAAGAAGAAGCAGCAGAAAAAAAGGATACGGAGGAAGAAGAAGAAGACGTTGGTCTGATCAAAGTGACAAAGGAACACATACAAACGTTTTGAATGTTCTTCGCTCTCCAGGCTAATTATAGTATTAGAGGATTAGTGTTTTAGAAACGAACATAACACAAAAAGTATTCCGAATCAAAGCGATTGAAATATGGCAGGCAAAAAGAATCTGATCTAAGATGTGTGAACCCGGAAATGGTTACTGTTGGAATAATTCAAGAAAACTAGGATTCTGTGAATCCGGAGGATTTCAAGAGTCACATAGAATCAAAGGTCTCATGAATCCAAAAACCTTACAAGCTCAACTTCCACCATACTTGCTCTAAGCAGCTCATCCTATATGTTCACTTTAATTATCTCGATTCATGTGATAGATTTCAAAAATTTGTCAACTGATCAATTATTTATCATAATATCACCAATATTTTATCAGTTGATAAAGTTTTGACATATTTTATAGAAATTGAGATAATTGAGCTCAAAGTTGACAGTTTGATTAAACGAGCAAATACGGTATTGTTATTTTCCCACTTCCAAGCTTCTCCCTTTCATATTTCAGAACATATGTTTTTTTCCTGAACAAACAAACATTCCCCACCCAATTGTTCACACACAAATTCTGTTTCGTTGAACTCACTTTGCTTTTTTATCCCTCATCCAGGTAGTCTCTGCCGATTCGGGCGTCTTGTCAATGTCGCCGGCTGTTGATCCATTCTCACTGTCGTTTTCGCTTATCGAATAGTTCGAATCGATTCGAGTAAGCTGAGAAAACAAAAAATGAGGATTTAATTGAGGAGCAGACTTACTTGAACAGGTCGTTCGATAGGATGATCCGAGAAGCGTACGTGGTCCAGTGCCTCGTTTTGCTGAGAAGGTAAATGTAGAAGGTTACTGTAGACCTTAACTTACTGTTGGTATTCCCATGGTTTCAGCCTCCGGCGGTTCCTGTGGCTCCTCTCTTCCCGCTTCTCGCAAACTAAAACATTCATTTAGGAATATTCATCACTTTCGCTAAAGACCTACTCAAAATTCGAAGTTTTCAACCAGGCAGATGTGAAATCGCAAGACGCCCGACGATCTACAGTATGCCTATGAGAAGGTCTTCTGAAGATTGATGAGAAACGACGCGTCGGATGGTGGTGAGGGAACGGCGGTGGAGCCGTCGGACGGATCTCCGAAAGACACCGACTCAGTGGACGATCGGGTTCGGCACCTGGGAATTATTAAAAGATCAAGAGGTTCTTCCAGAAAAAAGAGGTGGATGAAAACTTCAAACTGTAGTTAATAGTCCTTGAGCTTGTTCAAGAATAAGATAACTGTATTGTTTAATGTGCCAGCGGGAATTTCGAAGCATATTTATTATATACCTAGTTGAAATGTTTAAGGAGACACTTTGATTTAAAAAAAAGACAAAAATGAATCATTGACCATTTGTTTCAGGAATATTAGAAGGGGCGAAAGATTCGCAAGATTCATGATTCAAGATCTCGAAAATTTGAAAAAAATTTTGCACCCAAAGAAAAAATGGCTCAGTTTGGATTAAAATTGAACGGAAAAACTCAGAGAGAAACTGCGAAAATAATTTGAACAACTGTCAAAAAAGCGAACACACATCTGAGCAATCATTAAATTTCTTATGGATTTAAAAACAAAATATTAATTTATGTCAGAAAAAAAGAGAAGTGGGTCCATAAACTAAACTTTGCATTTTCTCGAATAGAAGCTAACATGTACCATCAATTTTGAACTTAATTATCTCGGTTCCTATCAAAAATTTGTTAACTGTGAAAAAAGAAAAAGGTATTTATACTATCAGAAATGTTTTATCAGTTGAAAAATGTTGGATATCTTTTACAGGATCCGACATAATTGAGCTCAAATTGCACGTATAAGAGGGTTTCTATTCGAGCAATACGGTATACAAAAACGAGACCCTACTGATAAAGTTTTTTTAGAAAGTAAGCTTTATTGGTAAAGTAACTAACTGGATAACCTCAAAAAACGCCAAAAAATGTGAAAAAAATCCAAAGAAATTTTGACAGGACTCGATCCATTCTCTCTCCCACCAGGAACGCTTGTCTGTCTCTCCGGTATGAACTCCACCCCAAACGATCTCATGCTCTCTTTTTCGATTGCGGCAGAAAAAGAAAGTCAGAAGCAATCTTTTTCTTATTTCAATTGTTCCACAAGCCGTGAAATGGGAATTACCACGGGGAGTGGGAGAAAGAAAAAGAGCCGAGCGACAGAGAGAGGTCAGTCTGTTTGGTCAAACCTAGACAGTCTGGAGGGTAGTGAAGAGACAGAAGAATGTCCAGCTACTAATATAAGAATAGACATGGAGCTAAACAATACAGTATGATGACGAACATGCACTTGTGGTCGAATGTATAGAAAATGCATTGTGCGTATTTTAAATGGCAAATTTGAAAATCAAAGGAGCAGTGTTCAAACCATCAGTTTGGAGAGAAGCTGATAGAATTGGATTGTCAATTAAAATAACATAATCAATGAATCTCGACAAACTCGGTTTCCCAAAAAACTTGTTTAAAAATTTGAGATACAGAACAGCAAGTTACCCTAAATTATTTCATAGGACGTCATTCTATAGTTGATCTTTGAGCTCAATTATCTCAACTTCTATGAGAGATCTGAAAAGTATGTAAACTGATAAACTGTTTATCATATTATTACCAGCATTTTATCAGTTGACAGATTTTTGATATTTCTCACAGGAATCGAGATAACGGAGCCTAAAGTGCAAGTAACCGAAATGTTTCAATATGTAGAACGTCATCTCGTCTACTCTCACTTTGAGCTTAATTATATCGGTTTCTATGAGAAATATCAATCATCTGTCAACTGATAAAGTATTCATCAAAATGTCAGCAACATTTTTATAGTTCGCAGATTTTTGATACATTCTACAGAAATTGAGATAAGCGAGCTCAAAATGAGCAAGTAAGGGGTGAAGTTCTATCAGAGCATTAGTAGTGGGTTTTTCTTTCAAGCTTTCAAGCTGAAAAAATCCAGTTGAAAAAACGAATGATATGAAGCTTCTAATAGTAAAATGTCTAGCGTTCAAACTAATCGCCACCACAAAAAATGACGTACTCGAAAAAAAAACAGGTAAGTGAGCACATGAGCACCCTACACAAAACCATTTTTCGGGAGGAGGATGAAAAAGCCGAAAGATCGCCTCGGCATGAAGGTGAATCAAGGTGGCAAGAACCTGTTCCACGGTCAACAACACAACAAATATCATGTACAAATGATATATCGCGCCTGCTCATTGAGAAATTATTCGTCTTTCTTTCTTTCCAAGTCTCTTGAAACACGGATGCTCTCTGATGGTGATGGTTGAACTTTGGCTACAGGGTTTTTGTCGTCTAGAAAAAAACCTAGTCTCTTCGTTTTCCATTTTCTCCAAAAACACTTTAAACATATATCCAACGGGCATTGCTGAATTTCAAACTAGATTGGTACGCATATCATTCGGAGAAAATCTCATCTGTTATGTCTCCTGCTGAATTCAAACGTACCGTATCCATTCCCTGACGATTCTTCTGTAATAATTGGGCACGTCATCTGACTTGTCATTCTCTCAAATCTGGGTGGACATGCCCAGGTAGTCGGAGTAGATGTCTGACTGGCAAATGGGGTTGTGTCGGTATGTTCCAGTATGTTCTGGAAATATTTTTCTTCGAAAGTCGAGAAAAGAGAAAAATATGAAAACATACAGGAAATGTAAACAGGAAATTTTTGCACTTACCGTAAACGCTCGATAATCTCCCCAACCTAACACAAGAATCCATCTAACTTTTAACTTTGAGCCGATTTATCTCGGTTCCTTTAAAATATATCAAAAGGTGGCCAGCTAAAAAATGTTACTGATCTCACGATAAACATTTTTGTAGTTGACCACTTTTTGTTAGCTTTCTTAGGAAATGAGATATCTGGGCTCAAAGTTGACAATTTGGAGGAAATTCTATTCGAGTGCTTACGGTATGTGATGCAGATTGTTCAAAGCGTTCATTCCAGAGCAAGCAAAAATACAAATTTCGCATTGTCCAGAAATCACCCACCCTCAATCCATCAATCGATTCATCACTTTCATGGATACTTGCCAATTCTATTGTGCTTTGTCGTTTCATTATTTATATGTACCGGAAGGCGTACCAGAATTAATATGATCAGAAAGAATACTCTTGTGGAAAAGGTAAAATGAATGGATGGGGAAATAAGAAAGCGAGAGACTCTTTTCTATTTTCGCTTCGATCAAAGTGCCAATGAGTAAAAATATTGACCCGATTATTTGCGCCTCATATTTTATTGTCAATCAAGACGAAAGTTAAGAGAAGGAGTTATGAAATAGAAGTTATTTTCTGAAAATCGGAGAATCGAAAGTTCTGGAAGCTCGCCAAAGTGTAGGAAGTTGGAAAGGATCTTCAGCTCGCCGTCGATAGTTCTGAAAAATGAAAAATATACATATTTTCAGAGAATTAATCCCATGAAGAAACCTGAAGTTCAATTCCGAATTTTCAACTTTGCGTCCGAATTTCTATCATGAAAACGTCTTCAGCTATTTTGTTATCGTCCATCTCATTCTCTTTTTCATGTTTCAGTATTTCGATAAATCAATGACTCATCTATTTTTCCCTCTTATCCCAATATTTGCTCATTAAAAGAGCCACTATTTATAAAAGGAAGATTTTCGTCTTGGTCTGCAACCGGTTTTCGTGGACTCTCATAAACTTTGTTCCGTTGAATTTTGCAACTTTTTTATGAATCCAAATTCAAATGGTTCTGAAAAATTAATGTATTTGATTCTTATCTTCCTGGACTTTAGAAATTCTGTATTTCTTCTAATATAAGCCAACCCAAACTGTCAACTTTGAGCTCAGTTATCTCAGTTCCTATTAGAAATATCAAAACATAGTCAATTAAAAAATATTGATAATATTATAATGAATAGTTTATTAGTTGACAAATTTTCCATATTTTTCCAAGGAGTCAAGATAATTGAGCTCAAAGATTACGAAATACAGCCTATTTTAAAGCAACGATTCAGAAAATGTTAATGTTAAAGATAAAAACAACCATTACATTACAGAACTTTACAACCCTATGATTCATAAACGATAAAGTATGTGCTCTGCTTCTCCTACTATCTCTAAAAACGTCTTGCTCAGCTCCCAACACTTCATTCGTCTTTTTCTGGCGCCGTGTGCTAGGTGCCTCCTACTTTTGTACTGATTTTTCTGATGATCTATTATTCTTTTTTTTCTTTAAAATTGGTTTCGAAATATTGCTGGAAATTTTGTACCTTCTGATTTATGATGCATCGACCGGGAATCTCAAGAAAATCGTAGGAATTTAATGAATTTTTTGCAATTGGTTTCAAAAATTGCAGTAGAAATGTTGTCCGGGACTCTTATTGGTAGCAGCGAGTGCAGCTGCCAATTGGCCATCGCCTTATCCTGTCAAATTTCAAACTTCTTTCAAATTGATGTGATAAATGGCAAATGTCAGTGGCTCCAAATAAATGTGAGATTATCGTTTTTGATAGATGGTTCAAAGATTCCGAGGACAAGAAGGATTCCTGATTTCGAGTCGATCCTTTCCTCTGATTCGTCCTATTCGACACCATTCTCCGTAGCAGTCATCAAGTAATCGTTATCTTTTTCAATGTTCTTCATTTTTCTCTCCATCGGAAATTTCATTTATCATTTTTATTATTCAATGCAGCCTCCTAAATACATTATTGAATTCATTCTTATTGTAAGGTATTCTAAATACCTTAGTAGGTTTAACCTAGGAAGTTAGTTATTCTCAGACTCGCCCAGATGTACTTTCATCTTTCTGAGACTTTGAACCGATGATTAACAAATCATGTGATTTCTAAGAGAAGGAAACGTTTTTTGTTTCTGTGTAGGACCGATAGGCTCTTACAATTAGGATTTACAGAGTTTGGATTTGTCTAATTTCTCTAAATTCTCAACAGACTCTCAACTTACATTTCAGACCGTTTCACCATCCCGTCCGGTTGGCTCCATTATCCCACGCTCCTGCCAAACCACCTGGCGTCATAGGAATGCCTTCGAGGCTCATATAAATACCCCTCTTCCCCTCCCTGAAGGTCTTCCTGTTTCCTTAGTTTTTTATCCCCGTTTCACATGAGTCGGGATTCGATCCAGACCTTTTACCTTTATCACGTTTTCTTACTAAATAAATCACTTATCCCATAAATGCTCTTATTTCATCTCTCAGGCCCCCCGCACTGAATTGTAGAAAAGCTCTCCCGCAAGAAGTATATTTTTGTAATCATGCACCTCTGCTCTAATTATGCATCAAAACTTTAATTACACAAGTTTAAAACGAGTAGTGAAAGTTGATAGGAATTGAGAAATGAAATTTTTCAGCTTTTGTTTTTTTGTTGTTTTTTTTTCAGCTTTTTACAGCCTCCCTTCACAATAAGATTCCAAAGATTTTCGATTTCAGATCATGAGATTTGAAAAATCTTTTAAACGAGCTCTTATGTCAAATTTTCAGAACCTCCCGTTTTTAAGAGTCTGAAAAGACTTTTAAAGTACAACAACACGATTCAAAAACTACAACTCAAGTTAGGTAATCCAATTCAAACAGATTTCGACCAGAAGATTGAACCCGTCCGTCCCGCCATCATCATTCTCTTTTTTTCGTTACGTAGGTACGGATTATCTTTCAAAAAAAAAGAGAATAGGATGTCTTTTTTTGAAAACTTGTCCATTTTTTCAACCAATTTTTTTCCTATTTCCTTATACAAATCGATTGAAAAATTAAAAGAGAAAATAATAGTTCCGGATGGAAAATCGGATGAGGGGTAAATCCAGAGCTCTCGTCCATTTTTGTGTGCTAGTTCAGATTATGTGCTGTGTTTATTATGCAACGAATATGGTAAGATTACCATAAAACTTGTAATAGAAGGCCCCCCCCCCCCTCCTAACTTTCTAGTCTTGAGCCAATTTTTATCGGTTCCCATGAAAGATATAACAAAGTTGTCAACTGATAAATTCTTTATCATAGTGTTAGAAGTGTTTTGTCACTTGACAGATTTTTGATATATTTCATTAGAAATTGATAGTGTGGGAGCCCTTCTATTACAGGTATTACGCCTTATTTAGCTATTTGAAATTTCAGATTCGCCATCGTCCCGGATTTGCAGTCCAACATTCTGGAATATCAGATTCTGAAATTTATCCAAATCGAAAGTATGAAGGAGAATACATTCGTTATGAGACCAAAAAATATGGACAAGATTTCTGTGTGGCTTATAATGTGACTAGAGCAACTGGTAATTTTCGAGACGATGGATTGGAACCGATCTCACTTGTAATTCATGCAACGTCGCATTTTATGAGGGAGATAGAAGGACAGGTGGGTGGAAAAAAAAGAGTGTGTACTTTTGAAAAATTGGGAAATCGATAACTATCGATAAAGAAAATGGATACTGGTTTAAACTCATAAATTAGAAAATTGAACCTGTTTTTTCAGTGTTTCCTTGTCTTTTCAGCGTTTTATTGAAAAAAAAGAATTTACCGTAAAACCTGTAATAGAATAATAGAAGGTTTCCTCACTTCTAACGTTGAGCCAATTTTTCGATTCCTGTCAAAAATATCGAAAGGTTGTCAACTTATGAATTGATTATCATAATATCACAAACATTTTATCAGTTGACACATTTTTTATATCTCTCACAGGGATCGAGATAATTGATTTCAAAATTTACAGTTTGCGGGAGTTTCTATTACAGGTTTTACGGTAGCCAACTTCAAGATCCCGAAAGATTAGTGCAGAATTTTTCGATATGACTGAAAATTTCTAAGTTTGCTGAACAAAATCAGAGCTTCGGTCTTTTGATTGACAACTTTTAAATGGAAATCCAACAAAGTGATTTAAGCAGTTATGAATTTGAACGGTTCGTTTTTCCGTTCCATTTTTTACTTTTTGGCACTTTTTTGATTACAAGCGGCATATTGGAATTCGTCGAAAAACCTGTTTTCCCTAATCGTCATTTCCACATTTTCCATAACCAGAAACCTGAAAAAATTGAGATATTTCCGGAAAGAGTTCCAGAAAAATTATTTATCACTTTTCCTCTCAAACTCCAGAGAGACAGGTGCTTCGAATTTTTCAGTGTTCCTGATCTCCAAAACATGAAAAAATCGAAATGATGTCATTTAGCCAGGCAAACTAAATATGGATAATCCTAGAGCAAAATTTGACAAACATTAAATTTACAAAAAAAAGAGAGATCAAAATTTTGCCTAGTTTTGGACACTTGATCATTCCCAACTTTCAGTGTTCCTCTCGTAACTGGAATGGTCCCATTTCCGTATCCCTTTTCGTGGATCGAACATCCAGTGAAGCCGTAGAATACCTTCACGAAGTTCATCGATGTTCTTCAAAAGTGAATCAAAAGCTAAGCCTCCACGTCGTCTACAGAATGTCCCCATTTCAAAAAACCTGCGATCCAATCTCAATAAAACGATCCAATAGAAAATGCAACTCGTTTAATGCCACAATCAGTGAGCTAGAGGCTTGAAAACTACAGTAATCCAAGATTTTCAGGATCAAGAGAACGCGGTCGAGTGATTCCTCCTTTCCAGATTTATCCGATCAATGTGATGAGAAATGTTGCAAGGAAAGGGGCATTGTCTGATATTCATATGGCAGCCGATGTGGAAATGGTGTTCAGTGAGGGATTTGCAGTGAAGATGAAGCCAATCGCTAATCAGTATATTAATGGAAAAGATAAAAAGTTGTTGGTGATAAGGTAAGAATTTAGATTTACTGGCTTCAAAAGTATTTGACATTTTCGGTTCCAGAAGATTCGAAGTGGATAACAAAGCCCATGTCCCTGTCGATCACCGAGAACTATTCTGATGATCAAAGCATTCAGAGCATTTGAATTTCATCACAAATATTTTCCAGCAGGCCATACAATTGAGTCCCTATGGCAATGGTTTCGAATGAGCAAGAATCAAACGGAAGCATACGCATGGCAGATTGGTTATAAGTTAGTGGTTCTATGCTAGACTTTAGAGATTGGTTTTTTTTTCAGAAGCAGTTCCTGGGAAGCGCAGTTAATAATGCATCGGAAAGATCCATACAACCCAGAATACATTCCGACCAGAATTCGTGATCAGCAAAGTTTGGTTTACGAGTTGTGTCGTGCCAACTATACATTTCACCTGGCGTCCCACGTGTTCAATGTTCATCGTGGAGTCAAGACAAAGGAGACCAATCTGTCGTCAGCGGTTCTAACGCATCAGAAGAGACTGAGAACGAGGTACTGTAACCCTGAAATGTTTGGGGAGTTTTTTTTTTGGGGGTTTTGACATTGGACCTTGTTTGTAAATTATATCTCTAATGAGAGAGGGACTCCAAAGTTGGTGTTGATACCGTAATACCTGTAATAACGTTGATCCCACATATCTCCGTTCCTGCCAAAGATATAAAAAAGTTGTCAACTGATAAAACGTTCATCATGATACCAGTAGTGTTTTGTTAGTTGTCAAAATTTTGACACCTTGTGTAGAAATTAAGATAATTGAGCTCAAACTTGACAGACTTCGTGCATGGAGCTCACACTACACGGCACGTTGAGTTCAATTATCTTGGTTCCTCACAGGGTAACGGCTGCGCATGGTATATGTCTAGGCGCGCATATAGGATGCTATGTGCACCCATAATAATACCGTGGGTAGCGCGTGCGCGCTATATGCGTCGTCGCTGGGCACGACTGGTCGCCGGTGGGCGCACCCATATAGCATCCATATAGCATGCACGCTTTTCCCATGAAAACGACAACCCACCAACGACACTCCGCTATTACGCTAGTGCGCGTTGTTTAGCAAAATTTTCCACCGCCGATCTTGATCAATTTTTCGATCATATTGATCATATTTCCTGCTTTCAAAGAACTTCTCACTGTTTTCACATGTAAAAATTATGGCTAACGAAAATAAAACTTATTTTTAGTAATGAAATAGGTAAAATTTTTTACAAAATCCGGTTTTTCTTGAAATTAGGACTTTTCTGTTTTACTTCGGAATAAGCGGAATAAAATATTTTTCGGGTGGAATACAGTTTGGTTGGTAAGTTTTCCGATTATTACGAAGTAAAAGTAGGAAAAAATCCGAGAAACACACGATTATTTCGAAAACAAAATTATGCGAATTAATGCCAATTTCAAGACTCTGTTGAATTTTTTTCAAGTTTTCTATATCGCAATTTTGAAGGAAAAATTTATTATGTTATAACATCCAGATATTTTTAACTTCCTGGCAGGCTTGTTCGGAAAAACAAATTCGGAAAATCGTGTTCTCGAATTTTTTCTCGACTTTTTTTGTTAATCATTTTCTGATTGTTCTCACACTAACCGAGATAATACGGTTCGAAAAGACGAGACAGGTTTTACCGTAGTAATTCGAATGGAAGCCCGTCGTATACGTGCACTTTGAGCTCAATTATCTCGGTTTCTATGAGAGATATCAGAAATTTATAAACTGATGAAGTATTGGTGATATTATGATAAACAATTTATTACTTGACAACTTTTTCATATTTTTAAAAAGAACCGAGCTAATTGAGCTCAAATGTGGCAGACCCCAAAAATGCACTTTGTGTTCACACTATACGGGTACGTTGAGCTCAATTATCTCGATTTCTGTGAAAGATATAAAAAATCAGTCAATTGGTGAAATATTGGTGATATTATGATAAAGATTTTATCAGTTGACCACTCTTTGATATCATTCGAAGGAATCGAGATAATTTAACTCAAAGTGGGCTTCTATGAGGAACAAAAATATGACCTCGATTATTTTTAATTTTTAGAAAATTCCAGATCCTACAAACGCTTCATGCACTACATTAACAGCACTTATCCGGATACATTTGACCAGTGTGGAAGATTTGTGATGTGAAAAATCACTGATCTCTCTTTGTTGTTCGGGTTCTAGTGCAAGGATATAAAGTTTAACATGAAAATTGATTTATTTCGTTTGTTGTTATGAACCAAAAAACAAAACAAAAAACAATTTTTGGGTGTGCGCAGAAAATGCAAAATTATACAAGGTCTTGGGGGAAAAGAGAACAGATGGTGTGGGGATCGAGAAAATAAAACCGGGCGGCGAGAATATTTGTGTGGGTGTGTGTTGAATGTGTTTGAAAACAATTGAGATGCAGATTGGAAGGTGATTAACGACGACGGGTGATCTCGTTGACGAGCTCGGCGATTTGCTCTTGCTCACTCTCGGATGGCTCATCGGCGGATGGGTTCAAGGCGAAGTTGACAACCATTGCACTGTCACGAACCTTATTCTCAATGGTCACGTTCTTGGCAGCAATGTCGTATCCCTCGGCGGCAACGATGACTTCATACTTGCCAGCTGGAAGAATACGGTAGAAGTCTCCCTCGGACCACGTAGTGACTGGATGCTTGATTGGAGTGGACTCAGTTCCGTTGCGAATCCAGACAACCGCACGTTGGATTGGTTCTCCGGTGATGGCGTCAACAACCAGTCCCTTGATTCCAGAGTGTGCCTTCCAGACGTACTCGAAGATTGACTTACGGTTGTCCTCCCAGAATTGTGGAAGTTGGGATCCGTTTGGCATCTGAAAAAGAAAACATATTGATAATTAGCAATAGAGTAATCCCTTTAAAAAGGTATAAAAAATCTCACCTTCTCACAGCTCAACTCCAAAGTAATCTCCATGGCGTTGGTGGCCAAATAGTTGAAGTCTTGCATTCCTCCGGCAACCGAGTACCACTTGGCTCCATTGGTGATTCCTCCTTGACGAGCGAACGCATCCTGGCTGGTTCCGTCACATGGTGCATGGTCATTCTTCGACATATGAGCATGATTGTCAGCGTAGGCCTTGGCCAACCAACGGAAAGTTCCGTCATCTGGAGATGCCGAATAGGCGGTCTTCTGAGCGTTCTCATCAATAGCAGCGTCGAATGGATAGTTGGCAACCAAGTCTCCCTCATGGAAGTTGGCAGAGAGAACGAATGGAAGAGATAGAGTCCATTGGCCAACTGCAATGGTTTCTGGTTGACGATCGACGTTGTCTTCGAACAAGGAGAGAAGATGATCCCACTTTGGAATCTTGATCTTTTCAAGTTCGTAGAAGATGCTATCAAGATCTGGGAAGTCACGGTTGAGGTCGACTCCATTGATGTTGGAACGTCCGGTGAGCCATTGGCGTTGAACTGGTTCAGTGGTGAGGGCCAATTCGAAGCCATCAGGGTTCATGGATGGAAGAATGTGGATGGAGGTGGCGTTGAGGAGTTGAACAATTTCCTGGAAAAAAAATGAATTTATGTAATGTTCTATTCTAGCTTTCACAATACTCCTTTAGTATGTCTTTTTAACAAAATATCCTGAGAAACGCCTTTTTCCAGAAATTTTCAAAGAATCTCAGGTCATTTCAACGTGGTGGCCTAACTTTTGCATGTTGAGTTTTCTAGGCCACCACATTAAAATGTCCTCGAAATGGATTAACATGCCCCTGGTGTGTTTTCTAGGTCATTTTTAGGTCATTTTAATGTAGTGGCTTAGAATACCCAACTTGCAAAAGTTAGGCCACCATGCTAAACTGTATTGTAAGCCTTGTCGAAAGGAGACACTGCTCCATTCATTCCTCTTAACTAACCTTATCATTATTGATAGCTCCATCGCAGAGAGTCTCAGCGAAACGGAGCAGGAGCTCGCGTCCGATCGGCTCGTTTCCATGCATGTTTCCAATCAACTTGACTTCTGGCTTCGTTGGGACATGCTCTCCGGGGGTGGTTGAGAATTGGATGACAACCAAAGAGCGTCCTTCGACAGATTGTCCGATTTCATAGAGGGTGGTGATCTGGAATTAATTTCAAAGGTCATCAGATGTAATCTCATATTCTAGCATTTTCTCTTTTCTTCTGCTCGGATGAGTAAGCAAGAGAAAAACAAGGTGGGGGAGGAAGGGAAAGATGGCTAATGAGCTTAAGCTCTCAGGGGGTTCTCTGGAAACTTGGATATCAGTTTATATCACAAGAGCCCGATCTAAGATTTTTTTCTGAAAATCATTATTTTGAAATTCCAAGTTCTTTAAAACCAAAAGTTCAGTCTCCCACAGTATTGACGTCAATTGTCACACCACTCTTCCAGAAGCTCTTCAATTTCTCAAAAATAGACTATTGAAGAGCCAGTTAGATGTGTTAATCCCCGGCTAGGTATCCCAGATGACTTCAGTGGGTGTTGAAAAAAAAGCAAAAGGTCAAAATTCTCTGGTGTCTGAGCTCCATTTTTTTTGGAATATGGGGGTGTAATTCTAGACATTGGCATCCTTTCCTTGAATGGAAATATATCCTTTTCTCAAGTGGCGAATTTTCATACAAGGATTTAGTCTATTGGATTTTTCCCCCTCAAGGGCGGGGGGGGGGGGGGCTAATTTTGGGTGACGTCATATCGGTTTCAGATTAGGAAGGCGTTTTTGTTTTAAGATACTTCTTTTGTGTGTCAGAAGACGTCAAAAATGATGAGTCACAAAAAAGGAAGAAGTCAGAAAATATTGGTGGTTAAAACTTAAAAAAAAGGATACAATCTAAAGTTTTTGAAAATTTTAAATTAAAAAAAAAAGTTCGAAAACTGGATTTTTGGAATTCAGTAGTTTAGCTTTCTGGATTTTTGAATTTTTTGTTAACATTATTCTGGCGCCTTTGCCTTCCCTGCGACACGGTGAAACCTGTAATAGAAGGGTCCTCTACTTTTCACTTTGAGATCAATTATCTTGGTTCCTGCTGGAGATACCAAAAAGTTATCAACTGATAAAATGTTTGTGATATTATAATAAATAATTTATCAGTTGACAACTTGTTTATACCGTTTACAGGAACCGAGCTAATTTAGCTCAAAGTGGAAAGTTAGGGTTCTCTTAAGGCTAGGCTTTACGGTAGAAGATTTTGAAAGTGCAATTTTTGAAGTTCGAAAATTGGAGTGCATGGAATTTGGTGGTTTAGTATTCTAGATTTTTAGAAATTTCAAGTTAACATCTATCCAGCGTCCTTCGATTTTTCAAATCAAAAATTTACCCTTTAATTACCGTAATTTTCCCTAGAAAAAATCCCATCTAATTAGTAAATGGTCCGGGGACTCAAGAATTTCTTATGAGTCATTCTGACATGAACTTCTTCTTCTTTTTCCTCATCTGACATGAAGACGAGAAAACAGAAAAACAATCCAAAAACGAAGCGAGGTTTCTAGGAAACATGTCTCGGAGTGGCTATGGCTACTTGAGAATACCACGTCATCTGTTTTTGAAGTTCGTGGGTACTAGGAAGAAAAATCTGACATCATCTAGACACCACTGATTCTTTAGAACTGTTTAGAACTTCAAAACAACGAAAAACAAGAAAATTATAAGTTGGTCTCTACCAGGAAGTGGGAAACTCAAAAACAAGAAATTTCAGGCTCACCTCCGGACACTTATCATTGATCTCGCGTAGCTTGGTCTCCAATTGTTCCTGATTGTGATAATGACCCCATTTGGAGTCCTCGGCCTTGCGTGCCGCTCCATTTCCGAATCCCAAGAAGGCGTGGGCGGTGACGGCGAGCAGAGCCGTCGCCAGAAGCACCGGCCGCATCGCGTGCAGCATGTTAGAATGAGGATGAAAGCTCTGGCGAGAAGAAGGAGAAGACGACGTGGAGCCTCTTTTCAGGCGGAGAGGGGAAGAAGAAGCTGTGGCAGCGACTCTGCTTCTCTGTGTTTCGTTTCGGATCGATAGGAAGAGAAGAAAAAGGAGAAAAATAGTGTAGAGATATGAGGGCGGTGAGTCAGGAAATAACAGAAAAAAAAGAAGGAGAGAGAGAGAGAGAAAGAGCACGCGCTGAGTTTTTTCTTCAGATGACGTCGCCCTATTCAAGCACTCGTTTCTCTTCTTCTTCATCTCCTTTTTTTTCATCTGGAAAAACGAAGTAAATGGAAGAGAAGGAGGTGATATTGGGAGAAGAGAAGGCCCCCAAACACATATGTTAATTTCCAGTGCTCTTCTTTTCTAGGAAGAATAGAAAAGAAAAAATGACGTGGCAGATTCATTGGCTCAGGGTGAAAAGATTCTAATTTGAATTGGAAAAGAAAGAGGGATATAAGGGACCAACGATTGCTATGAAAGTGACAAAGGGATTGGTTTTTTCTGTGAATAAAAAAAATGTTTCAAAGCATATGATTTTTCTATTAATTCTTTTAGATGAATATATTATTCTCGCACAAAAAGCCCGAGATGTGGAATAGAAGAGAAACGCCGGCGGCCGTGGTCGAAGGTCCCACAACGATAACTACAGTAACAAAAAAGTGTTTGATTTCCGAATTTATTTTCTAGACTTTTATTTATTTTCGTCGAGTTTTCTGTTTTTTAATGACAGAAAACGCACGAAAATCGAGAAAATAAATCCGGAAAATCCAAATGTTTGAGGTTACGGTAGTTGTCGTTGTGGGACCTCCGATTTTTTGTACCAGATTAATCACTCAAAAGCTTCAATTTTCACTTCGTGAGATTTATTATCCTTGTTCCGTCGACGAAGAAGCTTGCGACCGAAAATTCATGTGAAGGCGCGTCGTCCGTCTTGAAGCAAGAAAAAGTGACTTTTTTTTGAATGAATGCATGCGCTTTTAACACCGTATCTCGAAATTATTTCATTTTTGTCTATTTCTCAGATGTCTGTTCTTCTTACTTACAAGGGAAGTGTTTTCAGAAAGGCGTTGAGAATTCGCTCAAAATTTCAGTACTGATAGTTTGAGATATCCGCAACACGATGACGAAAAAATCTAGGTCATAACCCCACCAGGAAGCTGAAAAACTTCGTCTGAAAATTCTGCCCGATTTGGGCGCGCACTTTCCCCCCTCTCCTATACGCCCTCCGCGCAAGAGGAAAATGTCGGTTGTGTGGTGTAGCGGTAAGAGGGTAACTCATTAGGTGAGACTCCACTGGTTCGAACCCCACTGTGGTTAACATTTTTTTTGGGTTTTTTTTCATGTTTTTCTAACAATCAGAAGTTATTAGTAGAGCATGGATTTGTATTTCAACTTGCAGAAAGTTCTGGAAGCAGCAGAAAATTGCTATAAAAGGCGATTTTTTTTTTCATTTGTTCCTGTTTTTCTATTTTTTTTCTTCGTATTCATAGCTATTATTTGTCTAGCTGATGTCGAAGTTTCGTCGCATTTTGACATACATTTGGTTTTCCAGGAAGATGAACAACATCGGGATACATTTGGATTTTGTGGCATTTATCGTCCTCTGGAGTCCAACCTAACCGTAACATATTTATATGTAATGATTCACTGAACTGAAACTTACTCAAATCCTGTAGATCGTCTTCAAAATTTGAAAGGTGCTGTTCCATTTCAATACCAAAGTCTCCCTTATCGATCGATTCACCGAGGTCAATCAAATAAGCCGCGAGCTTGAGATCCTCTTCATCCAATGGCTGACGCTTAGGATTGACTCCCAGATCCAGAATGTATGTCAAAATGCGACGAAACTTCGACATCAGCTAGACAAATAATAGCTATGAATACGAAGAAAAAAAAATAGAAAAACAGGAACAAATGAAAAAAAAATCGCCTTTTATAGCAATTTTCTGCTGCTTCCAGAACTTTCTGCAAGTTGAAATACAAATCCATGCTCTACTGATAACTTCTGATTGTTAGAAAAACATGAAAAAAAAACCCAAAAAAAATGTTAACCACAGTGGGGTTCGAACCAGTGGAGTCTCACCTAATGAGTTACCCTCTTACCGCTACACCACACAACCGACATTTTCCTCTGGCGCGGAGGGCGTATAGGAGAGGGGGGAAAGTGCGCGCCCAAATCGGGCAGAATTTTCAGACGAAGTTTTTCAGCTTCCTGGTGGGGTTATGACCTAGATTTTTTAGTCATCGTGTTGCGGATATCTCAAACTATCAGTACTGAAATTTTGAGCGAATTCTCAACGCCTTTCTGAAAACACTTCCCTTGTTAGTTAGTTGACGTTAGTTAGTTGACTTTCCTCCGATTATCATGAATATTTAGCTGAATATTCTATCAAAATAGAAAGAAAAACCAAATAAGGTCAAAGTGAATTAATTTCAAGATACGGTAGCTATCAATATCAAAGGCTCATTCATTAAACAAAAAAATGTTCTCGGTTTTCGATTCAAGACCAACTACGCACCTTTAAATAAATTTCCGGACTCATGGTTTATCGCCGCCGCACGAGAATCACCTTGTTTCATAATAATATATTTATTTGCAATGCATGGGGGAAATCGATAGATAATTTGGCAAGAAATGGGACCTGTACAAATAAAAAAAAGTAAAATGACCAGACGGACCGACTAGAGTCCTGTAGGTCAAGTGAGAGGGATCAGAATATCATAAGGAATCGCTCCTGCTCGCTTAGCAAACGCCACCGGACTGAGCTTAGAATTTATCACCTTACATACACGGTTCCACATAGACAAGTTTCTGTGAAGGAAGCAGTCAAAGTATTGACCGTTTATTTGAACAAATACGGGGCTCTGTTAGAATGGCTGGGAAGAATGTAGGACAACATAGAGGGTTCATTTGAATGTGATGCTCTTAAATCAACTAGATTTGAACTTTCCACAAAAAAACGATTTATGAGAATCAGTGAATTTATTATACAGAAACTGGACACTAATTGCAATTGACAAAAGACAAAAAACGGCACTTAATTTTGGGGGCACAAGGATTAGGGGGCACAAAGGGGCACAACTGATTCGGGGTTACAAGAAAAGTGATTTGGGGGTACAAAGCCAAGGGGGCTCAATGATTTGGGGGCACAAATTCTTAGGGGGTACAACCTGGTTTGATTAAGGGGCACAAAGTAATTTCCCCAATTAAAAATTAGATATGCTTAAGGGGTACAAATTTTCGCTTTGGGGGCATAATTAATGACTCTGATCCAGTTGAAATAACCTATATAAATAAACAGATATCTTATAAAAAATTGAGGGAAAATGCCTGATAAGAAAATAAGAGTTCAATGTCTTAATTAAAGGCTTAGGCTGAAACTTCTTGCCGGAAAAATGACGTTTCACTCTAAGCCTGTGTTCTGAAAAAAATTACAGTCAAAAACTACAAAAATTTCCAAATATCAACAAAATTTCCGTTTTTTCGGGGATATTTTTTTGTCTTTTCCATTTTTCGTCTAGGCTTAGGTTAAAACTCCTTCTTATTTTCTGTAAGAGCATTCAGAAACATTGTGCTCCCTAAGCAAAAATTTGTACCCCTTAAGCATATCTAATTTTTATTTGGGGAAATTACTTTGTGCCCCTTAATCAAACCAGGTTGTACCCCCTAAGAATTTGTGCCCCCAAATCATTGAGCCCCCTTGGCTTTGTACCCCCGAATCAGTTGTGCCCCCTTGTGCGCCCTAATCTCTGTACCCCCAAAGTTAAGTGCCACAAAAAACGGGAAAAAAGTGCAAATAAATAGATAGGAACAGGCAAAAACAGATGAAACAAAAAACACATGTGTCGTCAAACTGATAATATGATATCGATTTTTCAGGAATTGCAGACGAGTGCGTGCTCGTCGAGTTTGTAGCCTGAAAATAGAAAAGAAACTGATAAGACACATTCCAGGGAGGTCACCTTTATTCTTGGCGCATGGATAGTGAACATGTGTGTTTTTCTTGTTTTGAATGCTAATGGCAGCGCCGGTCTTTCGACAAATCGCACAGTTTTGAGACCAGAAAATGTCCATTTGATGGTCCAAATTTGTCAGTTGACTGCCATGAAGATTCACGTTGGGAGCCCAGAGAATACAAGAGCCATGGAACCATAGCTCGATTTTGTAGGAGGGCTTTTTGGTTGTCTGAAAATGGGAACTAGGATAAATTTTAAGAATTTCGAATTTACTGGTTTTTTAGCAAGAAAAGTTGGCCAATGCTTTGCTGGGTTCAGTGATATGTAATAGGGGCCAAAGAGCTCTCGTTTCAGACCTTGCTCATGACACAGTGCACAATTATAGGACGATTCAATGGCGTCTGGTTCTTCTTCCCATTGGAACATCTTGTTCATATGAGTATCCAGTGTTCGGCTTACAGTCAATCGATGGTTTCCCGAGTTTTTAATTGTCGCTTTTCCATTTCTCACTTCAAACATCGGGGTTTCATCTTTGTGTTTCAGGGCTTTTGCTCCTCCGAACTTTTGATTGATTTGATTGGCAACTGTTTTGTTTTCTTGGTCTGTAAAAATGTCAAATTAAAGGATTTGTTCAATTTAAAGAATTTTGAATATTACATTCTTCATCATCTTGGTTCTTTCTCTTCCTTTGGCGTCTTCTTTTCTTCATCGGCGCTTTTGGAGGAGTCGATGTGCTTGTTGTTGGCTCTTCCTCGTCAATTTCCATTCTAAATTATACAATTTTTTCTTCCATTTATCTGAAGGCGTTTGCGTGCTTGTAACTTGAAATTCTGCTGTTTATGATTGTCGGTTATGACATGATTAAGCGAATTGCAATTTTAGAACAATTTTCCAATTTAGAAATTGCTTTCAGACTACTTTTTCAATGGAAATTCGCTGAAAAATCGTGAAAAAATTGAATTTTCTTCAATGGCCGAACTCCCTTTTCCCTTGCGAAACATCATCCACCCCTCGTGTACTCCTCTCGGACAATACCATTACTCACCCAGAATAAACAGTTCTCGTGATTCTTTTGATGATTTTTCATTGAAAACAGTGATTTTTTGCACTAGTTATATTCTAGACTAATTGTTCAATTTATTTAGTTGCTCTCTTTAAAAAATTATGTTTTGCGAATAGTGAAAATCACTTACAGTTCCTAATGATCTAATTTTTAGACCAATGCGTTCATAATGACAGAAACGGGTCTTCGTTACGCGATCGGTTAGTTACCAGCCGTTTGAAATAATCTAAAATTCAATTTCCAGCACAATGCACGTTCGACGATCCGATTCAATGCGGGCTGGAACTACTGATCGGTGATCGAGTATGTGTTCTTGGACAAAAAGAAGGCTGGGGATATGGACGGAAATTCGATGACAAAAATGGAAAACGAGGAATTTTCCCGCTCTCCTACGTTCAATTCGTTCAAAAATCCATGTTCGTATCGACAAGTGATGGCTATCTGGTGGTAGATGAGATTTCAAGAATTGTCAACGAATGGTGGACCAAAATCAAGGAATTAATGCTAGAGACTACAAAAATAGCCGCATATGAGGATTTGATGGAGTCTTTCAATGAATTATTGAATATCAAAACAAAAATTGAAAGTGGAGGAATCCCAATTGAAGAGCTGAATAAGCTACGTCTTCGTGTTTCAAAAATCGTGGATCGTGGAAATATGATTCTGCATTTGGACGTCGTGATTCGTGATGATGAAGGTGTTCCATTCGATGTAGAATCTCTGTCACTGTTGAGGTCGTATGAAGCTCATATCTCATCTCAACGACGCGTCGGGAACCTTCTGGTAGGCTTCTAGATCCAGAAGCGCTTCTGAATCCCTGAACTAATTTTTTTAAAAATTTCAGCGCGACAAAACTGAACAAGTCACTCTAAACGACAGTTTTTCCCTTCTCCTCTCCATCAAATCCGTCGAGCTTCATTGTAAATACTCGTGCGAAATCAGCATAGCTCTCTATGATTTGGAGAAGAAGATGTTCACAACGCAAGTGGCTCCTTTAGTCTATCTGATCCCAAATATTGCTTTTCCAGCGACTGCTACATTTTTCTCTGGAACGCCGGCACTGGTAAACACGCGGATTTGAATCTGAAGGCGTTGTTCACCGACTTTGCCAAGGAAGACATCCGAAAGAAGTATCTAATGGTGACTCGTGTTGTCCACGTGGCACCAATCGAAGCGTCGACTGCAACTATGCGGAAGCACGGTCATGAGATAGTGGTTCCCAAGAACTTCTATTGTCGGCAGTGTGGGGATTCTTGAATTTCTGTGACCTTTTCAAAATACAATTTTTTCAGCCTATGCATCTGATATAATGGAAATCTCAAGTATCTTCTTGGCCGGCTTTGTGCATGATGCAAAGGAACGTGTGATCTTTTTGAATAGAGAGCCAGAACTTCCGGTATCCCTGAAAGCATACCACGCCACTAATCGGATACCAAAGAATCTCAACAACGATATGGAGACAAAACTGTTGATTAGTACACAACTTGTACCTGGAAATGTGTCACAAATCAAAGCACGTCATCCTCAATTATTCAGTAGATTTCCAGCTGTCATTCTTCGAAGAGCCGATCGAACTGCTGTCTCTATAGAGGATTCTCGAAATGAAATGTATATCACTCTTATGCAAGCGGAACTCTCTGGAAAATCATCCGATCGAAATATTGAGGCACGTCTTCATGTTGTCGAATCCAATGGAAATGTGATGGAAAACGTATTTGAGACTATTTCAGTCACCGGATCTCAGTTATCTACAGTCTATAAGAGTATCGTAGTTTATCATACTGATAAACCAATGTGGTCAGAACCGATCAAGATTGTTCTCCCAGCTAGTGCCTCTCACGATGTCTATCTTCGGATTCTATTCTATTCGAAGAAGTCGTACGACAAGCCGAAGCCTGAAAAAGGGCCATTTGCACTGGCCCACCTTCAATTGATCCGATCGGCTGGGTTGGTTTGTGATGGAGAACATGATTTGGCTGTTTACAAGATTGATAATCCCGGATCCCATTTTGACGACACCAACATCTCATATATGGGTCTCCCGGCTACACGGAGAACCGTCAAAGAATCCATCGGCACTTCGAAGCCACACGCTCACGGGTTCTCATTGAGTGATAAGAGCTACGCACTGATATCAACCCATTCATGCTCCTCAATGTTGACTCAGAATGAACATCTTCTGAATGTGCTTCGTTGGAGAATGAATTGTGCGAATTTGACGCCTTCGCTGGTGGCGTTGGCTCAACCAATCGGTGACACGGAGCACGAAATGATCAGGTTCATTTCACATTTGCTGGACGCTCTCTTTGAAATTTGGCACGAATCTCATCAATTGGAGAGGATAGTTTTCGATGTGATTGTGGCAGTTCTCAAGCTTTGTGGTATGTTTTGAGACCATTTTTAATAGAATCGGGAATCTTGATATTTTCAGAAGAGCCACGTCATCACCCACAAGCTGCGAAGATCTTCGAAGCCTATTTGAAGCGATTCTCTTACACTTCAGCGGCTCTGTAAGTTTTCTTACCGACAATTTATCCTCAATTATCTATTACCTTCAGAAAAATCCTAACCTGTCTCAACCACTACGTCATTTCGGATTCCGATGACTCCAACGAAAAAGCACGCAACGCCTTCAAAGTCATGGGTCCCCTATTCAAAGTTGTCGTTGTTTCCAAAAAGTGCGGAATTCGTTTCGAAGAATTCGAGGGATTCGAGAGAACGTACAAACAAAACCTTCGAGAATTCATGAAGTCTCTGGTAATGTTGATGTCTGAGAAGAAGAAGAAAATGACTGTACAAAATACGGCACTCAAGAATATCCCTACAATTATTGATCTTTTATATGATAGTGATTCTGTGTCGGCTGAGAATCTTTGTGGATTCATTGTGGATCTTATGAACAACTTTGGAAAGGATATTGTCACAAGGGAACGCCTGAATTTCATTGCTCAGATTGTGGAGACCAAGTTTTTCTCGCTTGCCATCTGCCGAGAACAACTTCTCGCCCCGTGCCTTCAAAACGCTCTTCACATCATCCAACTCGACAACATGGCGATTGAAAAGGGAGAATTCGCAGATCGTGCTGCCGAGTGTGCCAGTATTATTGCAGCGATTCTAGAGAGACTTTTCTATGACGCGGTACTTTAAAATTTGCATATTTTCACAACAATATCGTAAGGCATATGTTTCCAGAAGACCGGCGAGAGTGGAGACCGCGAACTGACGTCGTTTATTCTCATGGTGTACCGCCCGTTGGTTCAAGCGATGATTCGTGTGATTCACGACGACAAGCATACTGACGACGATGCGAGAGGTCACTTTTTCTCTGTGATCCTGGCACTTCTGGATAAAATGTCCGCGCAAATGTTCAGTGAATATGTGGAAGAGAGAACGTCGGATATTGATAAGAGGGATTTTTTGATGGAAATGGTTCAGATGATTCGGGATTTGCTCAATCGAAATGCGTTCCCACCGACGTGGAAGGATATGATCATGCTGCAGAATAAGTTAGTTTTATTTTAGTCGCTGTGTACCGAAATCCAGATGTCCCAAAGATGTTGGGAACGGCTTTCAGGGAATTTTCGGAATGTCGAAAATTCCGAGTATTGAAATTTTGGAGTTCCGAACATATTTGGATTTGGCCTATGTGCCCCAAATTCCAAATGTCCTTATCATTCCTTCCCAAGCCCCGATCAAAAACATCTGCTTGTTATTAAAAGTCAATATACCACCAGTTCAAACTATTCTCAAACCACAATGCAAACACACTTACTTTCTCCCTTTTTCAATCTCTCACCTCGTTGTCCTGTTCCCTTTTTTCCCTCTGCCGCCGCCGAGGTTTATCCCCTCTCAGCACGGTTCCCAGAGGACCTAGAGATAAGAGATTCAGAGATAAAAGTTTCATTTTCAGAGTGATCCACAAATCGCTGAGATTCGTCATGTCGGCCGTGCAAACGTTCTTCTCGAATGACAAGTTTTGTGCGGAGGTAGGTTAGAAATCGAGAAAGTTCGCTGAAAATGATGGAAAACAACCTAAACATAACGGAAAATAGCATAAAAATGACTGAAATTGGCTGAAAATGCTGTAAAAATTGGTAAAAATACTGAAAAATAACTAAAAATGTATTAAAAATCGCATTAAATTGGCTGAAAAACAACCTAAGACTGACTAGAAATTACCTTAAAATTGCTTTAAATTAGCTTGAAAAAGAGCCAAATTCGTTAGTTCATTACACTTTTTACAGATGTGGCGAGAATATATGGTTACTGTAGTCTCGTTTGTCACTCAAGAAGGTCTAAATTCAAAGCATGAATGGATGAAAAATGAAGATGAAGATATCAGAATACAGTTGAGAAAAGCGGCAGCCAAGGATCTCCGAAGCATGTGGTTCCGATTGAATCGTGAGTTTTTTTTTCCAGGAGCGAAGATCCTACTTGTAACATTTTCAGCATCCCAAAAACTGAACTACATACCCAGCATGGTTGGATCGTTCCTAAAAGTCTCTCTAGTCGACGATGACGAGGCTCGTGAAGCCACGATTCCGATATTCTTCGATATGATGCAAACAGAATACAATACCAGTGCGAGCCGGTCATTTAAAGAATTCGCTTCTGAGCTGGTTTCTCAGCTTGACACGAATGTGGATCAGCAGAGTGCAACGAAGGGTTTCAAGGAGCACTTTAGGCAGTTATCAATAACTCTGTGTCAATCGGATAAGGAATTGATGGGAAATGGAGGAGAAGAATTGATAGAAAGAATTGATAGGCTGTTAACAGCATTGATAGAGTATCATGAGGTTGCATCGAAGAGTTTGGTAGAGTGTGCGGATAGTTTGATGAGCAGAACAGTTCAGTTGATGGTAAGAAGAGGCTAGTTGGGATCTACAGTAATCCATTCATTTCCAGAGATACTACAACCAGTACAGCCATGAAGAATTATATGTCAAGTACATTTACAAATTGTACGACTTGCACGTTTCTTATGGAAACAAGATAGAAGCGGCGAAGACGTTGCTGCGACACGCGACAATGCTTACGGTAGCTACAGTAATCCAAAATTTTATAATCTATCTTTTTGCAGTTTGAGGATGAAGCTCTCCCCTCGTGGCTCATCGCGCGATCTCTCAACAGACACTGTCTGACACATCGCCAATTGAAGGAGGATCTGATGCAAGAAGCTGGAGGACTATTCGCGAAAGGAGAAGACTGGGAGGATGCTTTGATTGTGTATAATCAGTTGATTCCTGTTTATCAAAATCTGACAATCGATTATCACAAGTTATCAGAGCTTTTAAAAAAGAATGCTCTATTATACACTTCCATCGACCGTACCGATCGTGCCTATTTCTACTATTACCTCGTCGCATTTTACGGACAAGGATTCCCGGCGTACCTCAACGGACACAAGTTTGTATTCAGAAGTGAGCAACTGGAAATGCACGGAGAATTCATGCAACGAATCATGAAGATGTACGATAATCCAGAGAAAATCATGAAGACTGATCCATGCCCGCATCTCGTCGATTCGCCAGGACGATGGATTCAAGTTTTCAATATTGACCCAATCGGAACTGCGTGTTCTTTTGATGACAATCCCAGTGTGAATCCGGCGATCAAAAAGTACTACAGACATTATAATGTGAGTTTAAGCTCTAAGGCTTCCGGTCAGTCGAAAATCGGCGACCGCCGACCTACGGCCGACCGATTGAAAGCCTTTGTAAGCTCTAGAAATTCAAAACTATAGAAATTTGAATTTTCAGATTCAAACATTTGAATATTCGAGAATGGAAGAGCGAAAAGAAACGAAATGGACATCAATCGATGGTTCATCAGAATTCATGAGAAATTGGTTGGTCCGTTGGCGAATAAAAACTGTCGATAGCCTTCCAACCGATCTTCGATTCACCGAAGTTCTCGAGCTCTCCGAACCGATTTATGTTAGCCCACTCCAGACGGCTGTTGAACAGATGAAGAAGAAAAATAAGGAGTTGAACGAAACAGCTTCCAACGCTGTCTACAACCCGAAATTCGATTTGAAACTGCTCTCCCGTGACATTTTGGGTGTAGTCAGTGCTGCAGTGATGGGCGGAGTCAAGAATTATGAGGTGTTCTTCACGGAAGCGTGCCGAAACATTTGCGAGTGTGGAGAGCAGTCGATTATAATGGAATTGAGCTCTTTGATCATTGAACAAGTCGAGATTCTGGAATACTGTTGCTATGTGCACGCGAGTCGATGCGAGGGGGAAGCCCGAGCGATCAATGAGACGTTGGCAGATGCATTCGAAAGTCATCGAAGATATGTGGAAGAGAATTTCGGGAAAACTAGGTCACGTCTCCCAGCGAACGCGTCGATTCGGCTGTCGACATATGAGTCTGCAGAAGGATCGTTCGCTGATATGAGTGGAATGACGACGCTGAAATCCACGAAGGCAGCCGCGTTGGGTAGTGCTGTCGCTAATCTATTGTCTTCGAATAAGAGGACCAGTGGACCGAGTACACCTATTAATTTGGCGTGAGTTGTTTTTTTAGGTCATCAGCTAAATTAAATTAAAAAAAAATTCCAGTAGTCGTTCGGCCCCTTCATTCGACAACCTCTCCTCCAAACTTCGTTCCTCCCTAGCCATCACGAAGCTGGCTCCGCCTCCTCGTCCTCCGAACCCATCTCCCGCCGCCTACCGTGCTCCATCTCCAGTCTACGAAGGAATCAGAATGCGTGCTCACTATCCACATCAAGCGTCTACCGTATCCCTCAACGCGTTTTCCAGTCCTCCAGCACTCCCGCCGAGGCCCGATGTGGACCCAAATCGGACGCTGAAGAGGAAAAACTAAACTTTTTTTCAAATTGCACTAATTTGTATAGAAGAGTCATAATTAACCTATTATTAAACGTTGTATTGCATTTCCCTCTTACGATCATCTCATCTGGTTTTACATATGTGTCTTTACTAGTCGCTTATATCTTTACCTTTTTTAAGGCTTCGTTTATTGTTCTCCTCCCCAAATTGGTTCCTGTGAATGTTTTAAAACTTTAAAATTTTCGAATTAATAATTCATTCATTCCAAAAAGTGTTTATTATACAAATAATCATATTCAAATCTAAATCTTCTCCTTTGACTTCTCCCCATTGCTCCTCAACTCCTCCACCTGTCTTATAGATCTTTCTGACGGCATAACAGGCAGTTTCGTTATTGATGGAATCTTTAGGATCGTTTGATTCGCGAACCTCGAAAAAGCGAATCCATCTCTCTCAATTGCTAGATCCCTCTGCTCAATTCTCTCTTCTAGTCCTCTCTGCCCCCGTGTAGCTCCACGAGCCATCAAATCCAAACAGAACGCAATCAGTCCGCCAACCAACATCCTCATTTTCAACAGAGTTCCCAATACATCATCCATTGTTTTATGTCCAGTATCTAATGGATTTTTCTTAAAATGTGCAGGAATGGTACATCCTAGAATTATCGACAATCCGACAATGGTGATGTTCCGAGAGAGGCGAAGATCCACATTTTGTAAATTGGCAAAGGCAACTCCACAAACCATACTCATGCCAGCAGCTAGGACGCCTCCAATAATAGCTTCGGGGATCATTGCGAGGAAGGCGGCGACTTTTGAAACAACTCCCATAAGGATTAGAAATACACCAGCACATTGCATTGTGATTCGACTAGTCACCTGAAAATTTAAATTTACCTAATTCGTTTAATTTTTTCAAGTTTTTCAATCTACCGTAGTTGTTCTAATAGAAGATAATTGAGCTCAAAGTTTGACTAATTTTGACCGCATGGGGACATTCGATTAGAGGGATTACGTTACCTGCAAGTTCCATTTGTAACAATTTTAACTTTAGTCGTTTCATGAACAACGCACTTTTCAATCTATTACTTCAATATAAAATACCGTAACCAAAGAAGCAATATTTTCGGATTTTCAAAAAGTTTTCCCTCCATTTCCTGTAATTTTTGAAACATACCGGAAAGGCAAAAAAGTACAGAGAACGAACGAAAAACGAAGGACTAAATCCGAAAAATAATTAGATTTTTAGGTTACGGTATTTTGTTTGAAGGGCTTTTTGTCGCCCAACGCTTGTTAGGCTGACAAAACAAAATATGTTTTAGATTGACATGATAATTTTTTCTGGGTTTTTGAAAATACCGTATTTGCTCTAATATAATAAAAGCCCACACACACTTTGAGCTCAATTATCTTGGTTGCTTAAACAGATATCGAAAATCTGACCACTAATAAAATGTCGGTGATATTTTGATGAAATTTATCAGTTGGTAATTTTCCCATATCTTTCACAGGGACCGAGATGAATTGGCTCAAAGTTGACGGTTTGAGTAGCACTCTACTAGACGAAATATGGTAAGCATTTCAATGATTGTTGCCTGTACCCCCTCTCCAAAACGCAAAATACGCTCGAACCTTTGTAACTTGCATAATTGCAATATTTTCGGAATACGTTGTCACTCCTGTCCCACAGCCCATCAACGCAGCCAACATACTTCCGACACCTTCGACAACAAACGCTCGGTTGATACTTGACGACGGAGGACTTCCTTGTTGCGAAATCTGAGCGCAGATTCCTAAAAATAATCCCATTTTTCTGATTTTCGATTCCAAACTTTTGATTTTCTCACCATAATTTCCCACACTCTCTATCATTACCACCACTGTCGATGCAGTGAATGCAATGATCAATTGGAAACTGAATTTGGGGAATCCAAACTGCAAAGGATACTGTACTTGGATCCATGGCGTTTGATCGAACACAAAGACACTTTCGTTTAGATCAGTTCTAGCTGGACTTCCAGAAGGTTCCAGATTTGTAATTGTTAGCAGGAAACATAAGAACCAGGCAATACAGATTCCAAGGAGGTACTGGAAAATGATATAAGAATAGTTATTGCGACTAGCGTTGTACCGGAAACTGGCTAAACATTTGAAGCCTTGTATAGATAAATTTCTTTTCTGAAAATGAATATCCAGGAATTGGGACTTCCAGGTCTTCCAGAAGAACCACAAAAACAATTAGAAGTAAAATTTCAACTATCGAAATCCAGTGTAAGGACACTTTTTCTTGAATATCCGGGACAGTTCCAATACACAAAAGAACTAGCATGGGGACAATTGTAATGGGTCCAATGTGTTTAGAGATCTTCCCAACCAGACCAGTAACACCCATAATTGGCATAATGAGAACTGCAAGGAATAGAGATCCGGAAATCTGGAATGGGAAACTGAAATTCTGAATTACTGTCAAACTATGTACGAGCTGCATTTTCTCCTTCCAGAGATTTGTATCAGTTTCAGAAGTGCATGGATACAATTCCTCGAAAGCGTGTAGAGCAGGAAGGAAGGCAAATGAGGGTCCGTGAAGGATTGCTAATCTATTTTAGAGAATATCAGAGCATTTCAAAGTACAGTATACCTCAAACCAAATGTAGTCTGTAGTATGGTAGCAATTCCAGTTGTTACAAAAGTCGCCGCAATTAGTTGGACTCTGAAATTTTTCAAGCTACAGTACCGGGCAAAAAGTTATTTGGACATTTTCCGTAGAAGATACCGTATTTGCTCTCGCATAAGCCCATGCTTAAGTACTTTTTAAGCTCAACGATCTCGGTTCTTATAAGAGATATCGAAAATCTTTCGACTAATGAATTGTTTATCATAATACTACCAATATTTTATTGGTTGACAAACTTTTGTTTTGTTATCCGTAATAGGGACTTGGATGATTAAGCTCAAAAGGCACGTATAGGATGGGCTTCTAGTAGTGCAAATGCGGTAGTGAATTTTGGATCGCTACTAAAGTAACTCAGAATTTTTTGATTTGGCTGAAAATTTCAGAGCATACAAAACATAACTCATTAGAATGAAACATAACTCATTAGAATGAAATTTTGCAAAAAAGTTGTCAATTACGAAAATAATGCTTCAGTTTTGTAGTTGACAAATTTTTTGTACAAAGCCTTCCAAACGAAATACATATACAGTTAGTTGTTTTGGCGTTTTCGTCACTTTTTCAATTCTTTCTTTACAAACTGCCTTGCTGATAAAAGACAATCTTGTCATGAAACTGAGAAAATTCGACCAGAGGTCGTGACCTAGAAAAAATTAGGTCGTGACCTAAAAAATTAGGTAATGACCTAGAAAAAATTAGGTCGTGACCTAAAAAAATTAGGTCACAACCTAAAAAAATTAGGTCATGGCCTAGAAAAACAATTAGGTCATTACATAGAAAAAAAGTAGGTCATGACCTAGAAAAAAAACTAATAGCTCTTACAAAATCCAAACATTCAGGGCATGGCCTAGCAATTGATTTGTTAATATTTTTAGAATTATACTCTGAAGTTTTCAGACAAAAAAAACCGCATTTCCCCTGATAGAAGCCGACGCAGACAGTTAATCTTGAGCTCAATTATCTCGACTCCTGTATAAGATAGCATACATTTGACAACTAATGAGATTTCACTGATAATATTGTAAGAATTTTATCAGTTAACAATTTTGTTGTATCTTGGACAGAAATCGATATAATTGAGCTCGAAGTTGACGGTTTGGGCAGTCTTCCAATAGACGCAATTCGGTGTTTTAAAGTATAAAAATTACTAGTATAAGCGTCTAGAAAAATTCAGACTCAAAAACGACACATTCTCAACAAGTACTATAAATTGAAACTTAATTTTCTGTACCTGATAGCAATAGTCTCCGTGCCCGCGCACAACATATTCGATAAAAGATACGGCGTAACTAGAAGAGCCGATATACAAACCAGCATTTGCTGTAGTCCGAATAGTATAATTTCAGTGAAATGAGGAACATCATTGACATGAAAATGAAGAGATTCACTGACCATCATGTATGGAGAAACAATTTGTCATGCTGAAGGAATCATAACGATCGGAGACAGAGAGAAATAGAATCAAAGGCTGTTTATATTCCTCTCCACGAGGGACAAAACCTGTACTCTGTTCTGTTTTTTCAGTATCTGTCATTTTTTTTCTGTTTTCATATTCATTCATTCAAATAAGAGACAAGAGACAAAAATAAATATATCAGAGATCTTGAGAGAAAAGAATGGTCCACGGGGTTGTAGTTTAAAAATAAGAAACTGGAAAAGGGGGAGTACCGGATTAAAACCATCTAGCGATAAGGAATGTGTGTTTAAACTGAGAGAGGATGAGATATTATGTACAGGAATATATAATAATAATAATTATTATTATTGTATCGGCAGTTTTGCGGAATGAGTGATACTTTATTTGGTGGTTGGGTTAGCCGAGGCGGCTGGCTCGGCAAACGGATCCGTTTTGTTGGTCTCAGAGACGATTGGAGCAACCATGTTGACGAATTCGTCGAGATCAATCTGGAACAAATTACAGAATATATAAAGTTAGAGAATAAGTGTTTTAGTTCTCAGTTCAAGATACCGTAAATAGTCTAAAAGAAGTCCTTTTACGAAAGTGCCCACTGAAATGAGTGATTGCTTTGAAACTGCATATCTCATTTGGATGGATTTGTACAAAAAAGTTGTGAACTACAAAACTGAAGCTCTATTTTTGTTGAGTACACTCTCAAATTTCCAGACAAATCGAAAAATTCCGGACCACTTGTTTATTGATCCAAAGTCAACTGTCGTATTTGCACTAATAGAAGCGCACCATATACGTGCAGTTTGAGCTTAATTATCTCGGTTTTATGGAAAGATACCACAAAACTGTCAACTGATAAAATATTGATGATATTATGATCAATATTTTATCAGGTGACAAAATTTTGATATCTCTCATAGGAACCGAGGTAATTGAGCGGAAAGCTCGTATATTGGGTAGGCTTCTATTAAAGCAAATAGTAAACTTTGGTCGCCTACAAAAGTAGGCCAAAAGTTTTCGATTTGTCTGAGAATTTTAGTGTCACTAAGCCAAATGAAGCTTCAATTATGTGATAGAAATTTTTTTGTGAGAATTCAACTAAACGAGATATGCCGTTTCAAAATGGCACAACTCTCATTCGAGTGACAGCTTTGGCATTTTCCGCACTTTTTGGTCACAAACGACATAACTCATTAGAATGAAATTTGGCAAAAAAGTTGTCAATTACGAAAATAAAGATTCATTTTTGTTTAGTGGACTCTGAAATTTTCTGAAAAATTGATAAATTCTGAACTACTCTTGTAGGGCTTCAAACTTGTCTATTTTTTACTGAAAACTAAAAAAGTGATAAATGTTTAGGGTCCTACTCTTATTCGAGTTCCAAGTTGGCATTTTTGCACATTTTCGACTACAAACGAAAAAATTGGCTCCCACCTGCTCATCTCCATCCTTATCAACCTCACGAATGATCTCATCCACCTCCTCTTCGCTGAATCTCTCTCCCATTGTAGTCATGAAATGTTTGAACTCTTGTGCAGTGATGTACCCGTTGCCATCTTTGTCGAACACTCTGAAAATTTTTATCACTCTTTTGGGTGCAAAAAGGATTACAGGTGTCAGGATTAACATAACTCTTCAGAGGTATATTTGTTTTTTTCTCTCTTTTCCCATTCTCCCAATTTTATCAAAACTCACTTGAATGCGAGACGAATCAACTCCTGATCGGTCTCCTTGTTCATCTCCTTCATCATTTTACAAAACTCGCCGAAATCGATTTTTCCATTTCCATCCACATCGTACTCATTGACCATATTCAAGAGCTCCTCCTCAGTTGGATTCAGCCCCAACATGCGCATTGCCTCTCCCAATTCTTTGATGTTCATCGTGTTGTTTCCATCCTTATCGAACAATTTGAATGCTTGAGCAAACTCCTGGAGCTCTTCCTGAGTGAACTCGTCGGCGTCGGAGCACACGGATTGGTTGGTTCCTTGACGGTACATGTCTCGTCGCGCAACTGAAAACATTTTTTAATTAAAAAATACAGAAAATAAAATAATGAACGAAATGAATTTGAAGATTTTCTATGGGACCCTCTGAGAGTCCTTGTCTATACACACTCTTGAGTTGTTTTTGCGGTGTCTGTTACAAAATAGAGAGATGTCTGAAACTGATGACAGATTTGCGAGAGAGTGCCAGAGAATTAGGAGAAAGAGAAGAACAAGAAGAAATGACATGGGGGCTCTCACTTCAGAGGGCTTTTGATGAAATGAAAAATTGCCGACGTCACAGACTCAAGAGGGGCGATCGAGAGTCAAAGGCTTGAAAATCGAACTTTTTGGACTGGAACAGTGAGGGTTATTGATTGAGACTTGGTTGAGAAATTGTTAGAATTTTTCCATGAAGATACAGTATTCTCAGAGATATATTAGAATCTTAGAATCTTAGAATCTTAGAATCTTAGAATCTTAGAATCTTAGAATCTTAGAATCTCAGAAAGAATTTGCGAATTTCATAAACTCACGAGTTCAAAAATTTAAAAATACAAAATTTCAAAAGAATTCAAAAACTCCCAAATTCAGAATGTTTAGAAAATCTGAAGTTCTAAAATTCAAAGTCTTAAGAATCTTCTGAGGCTTAGCATCTCAGAATCTCAGAATGTCAGAAATTGAGAACTTCAGAATCTGCGAAATCAAAAATTTTAAAGTTCTTCTACAACTTGAGAATCTTAGAAACCCAGAACAATCTTAATACTATGTAATTCTTAAAGCTTCCTGAGACACCTCAGGTATCCGGGCACCTTCTACCTCCAATAAAATTGAGAAGAAAAACGAAAGGATTGATGAGATATCTCACTCTGCGTCTCTCCGTCTCACACACTCTCTGACCCTCTCTCTTTCAATTTCATTAGTTTCCGGAGCACAATGAAAAGGCCAAAAAGTTTTTGGAAAAGAAGAAAAGAACTGCACGAGAAAAATGAATGAGGGCAGAGTGAAAGATAAGGGACATCTGGAAAATTGAACATGTGGCTTTTGGCACCAATAGTCATATATTTTGTTTTAAGTTCTTCCATGACTTCGGGAGAGGTGGGAGCTCCTTTCTCTAGGATCATCACAAAATAATTGTCCATCCATCTTCAAGTTTTATGTGTCAGGCGAAGAAGAAGATTTTGTTCTAGAGCTGCTGGATGGGGATTTTAGTACTTATTGGAGGCAATCCAGGGGTCAGAGGGCAGACGGACCAGGAACTCTGGGTCTTGGATAGATAAGAAATAGTTTATTTGAAGAAAAATTTTTGTTGAAAAATCCTGTCATTCTATATCTTGTAAACCGACTCCTGAGATTTGTTCTCTATGTGACAAGTCGGTCAAAACAGAAAGAATGATTCCTTGAAGACAGCAAGATCTAATGTAAGACTCTTAAGATTTCAGAATTTCAGTATCCTAAAATCCTAGAATTCTAAATTCTATAATCCTGATTTCCTAGATTTTTGAAATCCTAAATTCGATAAATGCCAAAATCTCGAAATCTCGAAACATCGGAGTCTCAGAATCTCAAACTCTCAGAATCTCAGAATTTCAAAGTCCCAAAATCTCAGAATCTCAAGATCTCAGATTTTCGGAAGTTCGCAAATTCAAAACTCAAAAAACCCCTCTATTACCAGAGACCTTTCTTAAACCTTTCTAAACCCCACAAATCTGTTATTACCGTATTCTAGTCTGGAATTTCCAGACGAAAACATTATAATCCTGCGAAAAATAACAGTACTCCAAAGAAACAAACAAGGTAATAAATTCAGAAAGCTTTGGACCTTGAAAAATGAAAATTGGACCTTCTTTATTTTCTTTTTTCTCCAAAAGTTAATCCTATTCTTCCCATTCTCTTTGGTCGATCAAAAACCAGAGTAACAGAAAAAAGAAGAAAAGAAGAAGGGAAGAAATGTGTGGGAAGAGCCATGGACCTTTGGAGTGAACACACAAAAATCTCCAGGAGGCACCGGTTGAAAAAGAAGAAGAAAAGGAAAAAGGAGAAAAAGAGCCCACCTCCAAATAACAAAAAAAAAGAAAAAGAAAGACTGGGATTTTTATGGGCGGTTCCTTTTGTCGCCGTCCCAACGGAGAAGAGGAACGATTTGTGAGGTAGATAATGATGAGGTGGATTGACAGATCGACGTGTCCGATCGACTGGAAGAAAAAAAGAAGACGTGCCTTTGGTTTGGGCTCCGTTTGACGGGATGATTGTGGAGCCGAAAAAAATGGATGATGGATGACGGAGGAAACATGGAAAGAGGAGTACAAAAGTGGAAGAAAATAGGAAAAAGCCTCTAGACGTGATGTCGGGATTCGGAAAACGACGAAAATCGGATAATCAGAAGGACAGGTTATAATCATCTAGAATGTCTAAAATAAATTCTAAGAAATGTTATCGGTTTCAAAAAGGGTTAGAAAATTCTGGAGACTCTAAGATTCATACAGTACCTGTCGTTGATTTTCGGCCATTTTCAGAAGTCTGGAGCCCGGCTGTCAAGTTTACGATCACTTTGAACATTTTGGAGGGTGTAAAACAGACCTAGATTGAAAACTTTGCATTCACAAAACTTTCAGAAAATTCCTAGTTTTTCAGCTATTTGCCGATTTCTAAAAGTGTCATGTTTTTTCACATTTCAGCACGAAAACGGGTGTCTTTCAAAAATCAATGAATAACTGGAAAATTAGGAATTTTCAAAAAATTCTGCAAATGCAAAGTANCCAATCTAGATCTGTTTTACACCCTCCAAAATTGTCAAAGTGATCGGACAGATGGCATCCGAGGTCCAAAATTTAAAAAATGGCCAAAATGGCCGAAAACCCACCTTTTTTTTGCATATCCTATTGAAAGGTATGGTATGCCCTAAAAATGGAACCACACCCATTAATTAGAGCCGCGTATAATTTCGAATATGAGCCTAAAAGTTTCAAAAAGGTTTAGTGACCGGTACTGTATGTTTCGAGATTCAACAACGACTTTTGATGATAAATTCCAACCAAGTACAGTATCCTTGTACTTCCCTATGCATTCAAATGGGTCTATTATGAACATTCATGACTCATATCTCATTCTAACAATGACCTACAGTAGTATCTCGTGCCACATGTCTGTTTAAGAATTCAAAAATGCAATATATCAAACTACAAGTACCCTTTTTCTTCATCTGACTGACAGCAGTCCTAATTGGTTTTCGAATCCCTGATGAGCTTCAGTTTATGTAGCCATTCTCCACTTTATTGTTTGTGGTAGTTTTTTTTGTTTGGTTCCGAGAAACATTTGACGCCGTTTACTCGAAACTACGACGGGGCTAGGAAACGGAACAGGAAGTGGAATGGGGGAAAAATAAGGAGATTGATGAATGGTCGGGGACCTGTGAGCTCAGAGAATAGGCGCTCAATGAATGCGAGATGGGAAAATTGGAAAAAAAACCTGGGAATATAAGATTTCGATTTTTGAACCATCTTGATCAGATTCTTGAGGAACGGGGAACGAGGGATTACAGAGTTAATCCACAATCCAGCTAAAGCCGACAGTCGGTCGGGCGATCGCGGTGTTTCGACCGAAAAAGATGGAAGTCTTACTCGCGCCTGGATCACGGACTTTTGAAAGTTTTGTTTTGAAAAAAACGGACTAGACGGGGCGACTTATGAAGTGCATCCTTTTGAGCAAACTCTAAACAACTACATGAAAATACCGTAATCTTACTTCCCCATTAACAAATTGCTCTAACTCCATAAACCCATAAATTCTCAAAACTTTATTTTCTCCTCAATCCCACACCACCCATAAAACCTCCTCTCAAAATTTTGAAATAAATGGGGCCAGACATAAAAAATAAGAAGAGCAAACCACAGAAAGTGTATATATTGGTTTTGGTTTGCTCCTCCACTGCTCCGCCCCCGCCAAACCCATGGAATACAAAAAAACGGCGAAAATCGGAGAAAAAACACTAAAAAGCCCCGGTATTAACAGAGGGAAGGGCTCCCTCATTTTTCAGAACAAAGAGAAAGTATCAATAACAAAAAAAGAAGAAAAAGAAAAGGAAGAAGAAGAACAAAACAAAGACACAAAAAACTTACGGCAGTCTGCGGCATTGGCGGATTTGAACGGAAGCACCGAATGGACACAAACACCGCTCGCCATTACCGGTTCCACTATTTCCTTCTGCTGATTGTTGCCGTTTTGTCTGGAAAAAACCATCAGATTAGCCACAAAAAAAAGCAAAAAAGATTTGACCCAGGCAGGGCTCGAACCTGCAATCTTCTGATTAGAAGTCAGACGCCTTATCCATTAGGCCACAAGGCCACGTTTACTACGCACCACCTTTGACATACATCTGTCGGAGGAGGAGACAAGAAAAAGAGGGGGGAGATGCGCGACACACACACAACTCACCTCGTTCGAAACCCCCGTCGTCGGGGTCCTATCCGATTCATGATTTTTCGTAGAAGTGAAATTTTGGGTGGTTTCGATGAATCTTTTTGAGGTGGAATTTTGAATTGTTTTCGAGGGGGGACTGTGTGTGATAGTTGAATAATAGAAGACGTCCGAAGAAGACGTGCTTTATTTTTTATGCTCTCTAAAAAATGAAGAATTCTCTTTCAATTTGCTTCAGAAGACGTTGTCGTGTGTCCAATTGTTGAAGGAAAATAATGAATAAATAAGAAGTTGAAGAATATGAAAAAGGGGCGAATAGTAGGAGGGACGAAGAAGAGGACGAGGTGCATGAAGTTTTTCCATATTCTCTCATCGAAATTAGCAAAATCTTCGCCGTAGGCCACACTAGCCGTCTTCAGAAGACGACATCTTCATGGTTGACGTCTTCTGGTATTCAGAATACAAAGAATAAGGTTTCCCCTAGTGTTGCCCCGGCCGAAGGACATACAGCCGTTTTCTATTCATACGAAACAAGTTTTTGGCTCTCGGGGATGGGATGTGGTCGAGAGAGTACGGTAGATTTAAGAGACGCAGAGAAG